GGACATAAAAGTGGTGGGAGAATGACTCCACACACGTATGTGCACACATACACACATCGTGTACACATATACAATAATAAATAATTTTAAAAGTCAAAATGAAAGGTAATATATCCATGCTTTAAAGAAAGTCCAGTAGACATTTTATATTTATAGTTTATCTTATGTTGGACTCTTTGTTCCAAAAACAGAGTCTAGTATCAGTTTTTTAATTTGAATTTTCATTTTTTTTCTTATGTCTTAATTTGAATTTCAAGTTCTTAAAATTTAGACCAGGGATGCAGCAATGGTAGATTGCTCATCTGGCATACACGAGGCCATGGGTGCAAATTATATGCCTGTGATCCCATCACTCAAGAGCAGAACAAGATCAGGAGTCCAAGACTATCCTCAGCTACATAGCAAGTTTGAGACCAAACTGGGCTACATGAGACCTTGTCTCAAAATTTTTTAATTTAGCTTAAATGTTCAGTGCTGGGTTGGGGATTTAGCTCAGTGGTAGAGTGCTTGCCTAGCAAGTGCAAGGGCCTGGGTTCAGGCCTCAGCTCTGAAAAAAAAAAAAAAAAAGTTCAGTGCTTGGGTTATATGATGCTACTCCAAGTGCTGAAAAGCCGCATTTGACTAGTGGATGCTGTAAAGGGCTATACAGGTCTAGATCACCAGGAAGAACAGTAGAAATGAGGGGTCCCCTAGTTCCAGAGAGAACTTGGAAAGGAAACAGCTCAAGAGCTAGACAAAAGCTAGATCAGGAGGCCAGAGAAGGGGCTGTTGGAAGCATAGAGCACAAGGTCACTCATGTATACCTAAACACCAGGCACTGCAGCCTGTTGTACAGAGCAAGTAAGAGGTGGATGTTAATCCCAGAGCATTCAGGAGGTTTGAAAGTTCAGCATATACCTGGGGCTACAGAGTGAATTCAGCCTGGTAAACTCAGTGAGACCTGATCACAAGATAAAAAGCAAAAAGAGGATTAGGAGTCTGGCTTAGTGGTAGAGCTCTTATCTAGCATATTTGAAGCCCTGAGTTTAGTCCCTAGCACTGCAAAACAGACAGAGCCCCAAACTATGATGAAATCAAAAGTATTTCTGGGGCTCAATTCTGGAATGAGATGTACATAGGAACTCAACCCTGCCCTGAGTACATCTAGGAGGCAAAACCAGGACCAAGAGTGGGCATTAGAGGATGCTGCTCAAGCTCAGACCAAAGATGAGTTTAAGTAAGGAAAACTGTCCCATAGTGGAAGCAAGGAGCTCCCTGCCTTTGGAATCCCCTACAGAGAATATTGTAAAGGACTTGTATCCCTCATACCCCAGTGGAATACCAAATTCCATTGTTGGGGGGCTGCTCAGGGTTCTGGCTGTGCAGAGGGTTGGATGAGTTCCCTCCACCCAGATGCCTTCTGATTCTGCATTGGGCATAACTGCCAGTCTTACAGAGCACATCCAGGCATCAGGCAGCCCCAAGCACCATAGTTGAGCACCTCAGATCTTCCCTACAGCCAGAGCTTGGTCCTCTAGTCATCCCACTTCTCAGAGGAGACTGAGTCATAGAGTGGTGACGAAACATCACAGCAAGAAAGGTGCTGGAGCTAGGAATGAAAAGTGGTCAGGGGCTCACGTGTGGAGGCACATATCTGTTATCTCAGGGATAGACAGAGGAAGGAAGATTGGGTGTTCAAAGCCTACCTGGGCTACCAGTGAGACCTCCCTGACTCAAAAAGAAAACCAAACAAACAAACAAACTAACTAATCAAACAAACCAAAACAGAGAAAAAACAAACCCAGGAACAAAAACAAAAGGGGGCTGAGGGTGTGGCTTAGCAAAATTCTTATATATGTCAGACCCTGAATTCAATCCACAGTAACACACAAATACACAAAAAAGTGGGCAATATGGTTTGAGGCCAGTCTGGGCAGGTGGGCCTACCTGGTCATCCCCTGCTCAGCTTTACCAGCTCTATTTCCCACCGGGTCCCACTCCCTCTGCCCATGGGTGGGCCTGGATTGCATTAATGATCACATTTACAATTTCCCTTCACCTCTCTGTATATCCTGCCCTTTGCGGGAGGGGATGCTCTCTCAGGCTCCTTGGTCTCCCAGTTTGAAGAAAGAAAGGGCAGAGAAGAGGGACAGGACTGGCCCATATCCCAGCTCCGAGGCTTCCACATGGCTGAACAGATCTCCAAGCAGCGTACACAAAGCAAGGCATTGATGGTCTCCTGCAGGCCGAGGCCTCTCCCTTCTCCCTCAGGGTGCTTCTCTTGTCCCACTCAAGCCTCTCGTGAGCCTGATTTAATAGGAATCTGTGGGCCATGAAAAGTTCCTTGTGATACACTAATCCGAGTTGGCTGACTGGACCACGCCCCCAAGAGAGGCAGCCTCCGGGACCATTCAGGCACCAGGTGGCTCCAAGGAGGGACTGGTAGGTAAGTCAGTACCAGGGGCCTGCCAGGGCCAAGGAGCATAAGACGGTGGTGGGGGTGGTGAGTAGTCAGGGGAGGAGTGGGGGTCCATCACATCTCAGATTGCTCAGATTGCTCAAATTGCCTGTAAAACCAGCGGGCCACTCTGCAGGGTGAGCTAGACAAGTCTACAGGCAGATTTAGCAAATGTAAATGCAGAGGACCTAATTAAATTCTAATTGTAGATGAGCAAATACTTTTACAAACCAAATATTTATAAATATTGTATGTTAGCTGGGAAACCTAAATGGCAGGGAAGAGCATGGAGTGAGAGGTAGCATTTTTTCATTACTGAATGTCCTTTTTAAAAATCAAAGTTAACAGTTCAGCATATTTAGAAAAGAGTTACTGCACTGATTTTAACTTTGTATTTCTAAAGATCTGGGATCTTGTGCTGATAGTTCACTTACCTGGCTGGGGGTATCCAGACACTAATCCCCACCTAATTTCTTCAGACAGTTTTTCTTTAATTAAAAAAAAATATGTGTATGAGTGTTTTACTGGCATGCATGTGTCATGAAGTGCCCAAGGAGGCCAGAAGAAGGCATTAGATCCCCTGGAACTGAAGTTACAGACAGTTGTTGACTGCCATTTGGTGCTGTGAACCAAACCCGGGTCCTCTGTAAGAGCAGTGAGTGCCTTTAACTACTGAACCATCTCTCCGGCCTCTTTAGACACTTCTTTTTTATTGTTTAGTTTTTTTGAGATAGTCTCATGTAGCCCAGGCTAGTTTTGAGCTCACTATGTAGCTGAAGATAACCTTAGCTTCTATTCATCTCACCTTCACCTCCCAAGTGCTGGGTTTTACAGCTCTGTGTGTGTGTGTGTGACTGTGCTTGGTTCTTGGTCTCTATGCCCACATATTTGAGTGTCTACTAGCCTAAGAGATGGCTTATGTTGGTTCCTGTGGGTGGAGTCCAGGCCTCTGTCCTCTCTGGGGCTATGGACGGGGAGGGGCAAATTCAAAAGGTGGGAGAGGTGCTAGAGAGATAGCTCTGGGGTTAAGAGAACTAGCTGCTCTTGCAGAGGACCAGGGTTTGGTTCCCAACACCAAATGGCAGCTGACAATCATCTGCAACTTCAGTTCCAGGGGATCCAATGCCCTTTTCTGGCTTCCTTGGGCATTGTACACATAGGTGCAGTTATACACATGCAGGCAAGACACAGCTTTAAGCTGGGTGTGGTGGTACATGCTTTTAATCCCAGTCCTAGGAGTCAGAGGCAGACAGATCTCTGTAATATGGAGGCCAGTCTGGTCTACATAGCAAGTTTCAGGTCAGCCAGGCTACAGGGAGACCCTGTCTCAAAAACCAAACCAAAATAATAATAATAATAATTAATATTTTTATTATATTTTAATATCAAAAAGTAGAAGGCCCTCAGATATTCTCTTGGATCCTCCAAGTCTCTGTGTACAAGTTGGGGTGATCTCAGAGTAATGTTAAGAAAGGGAAGGGGGACTCAGTTCTGGAGCAAGATTCTACTCTAGGAATGTCATAGAAAAGCTGTTCTTCGTGATAATCCTTTTTGGTGGGTACTGTTATCATCCCCAATTTGCTACAAGGTTCAGAAAGTTTACATAACTTGCCTCAGGTCACACAGATGGTGAAAATCAGATGCAAATCCAGATCTTTCCAATCCACAAAATTTCTGTCCACCATGAAGGTTGCTTGGCTTTCAGTATCTACAGACTTGAAGTCAGGCAGACATAAGCTCAAGTTCCAGCTAGTTACCACTGTGAGCAGATGACCGAACTGACCAGTGGAACCAGGAACTCAGGATGGTGAAGAGTCTTCACAGTCACTGGGGACATTTAGGCAGGAAAGGAGAAAATCTGGGAACTTGTGGGCTGTGGATGGAGTCTGGTCCAGTGGCCAAGCGCTGCTTGTATGTACATCATTTAATAATAGATTGTAACCCTTGCATCTCAACAGGGGATTGTAAAGACTCAGGTGAAATCACACAGCCTGTAAGTGGAAGAGACAGGATATTTAAAATGGGAATGATGCTGCTAGCCCTGGCTGTGAGATGAACTTGAAAATCCTTAGTGCATCACAAAGCACTAAGCACACTCCTGGGACTAGGATTGTGTAACTGCTCACCACTGCTCCTGAAAATGAATGCACTGGGAGCAGGCCATCTATTAGGAAGGGAGGTTTCTGGCATACCCTTTTACACTGAGGAAGGAGGTCTGTACAAGGAAGAGAGATTGCCTTGCACTGCAGTGATCTGAGCTTGTAGATGAGAATGAAGCCCAATCTAATTTCCTCCTGTCCATTCACAGCTGAAGAAAAAGGTATTTAGTAGTGTGCCCCTTTCAAAGGCAGCGTTCCCAAAGTGTAGCCCAAGAATTATATCCTTCAGAGCTCGGCATGGGAGGGGAGATCTTATTTGTAGGTTACTGGTCCAACCCCAGCCCTCTAGTCAGAATCATAGGGGGTGGGACCCATGCATCTGCATTCCTGGCAATCGCCTAGCCATTGTTTGAGATCCGCTATTCTGAGACAATCACAGAATGTTTTCTTTAATATCACTGCAGCCCTGACTTCATTGGTTACAGAGACAAGTCACCTGGAGAGGCCAGGCAGAAGAAACAGGCCCCTTCTTTTCCCTCAGTGTCTTCTAGAGGCAATATGTCAGAGGGGGTGAGTGTCCTGGGCTCTTCTTCCCTTCTTTCCTTTTTCCCTCCCTCCCTATACCCCTATAATGTCTCTGTGGGCTCTGCCCTCCTAGGGGTGTATGTGGGGGGCTCAGCAAAGGCCTTGGGCAAGGGCATTGTGCAGAGTCTAACAGGCTTCTTTGCTAGTAACTCACGCTGGGGTAGGGCTGCCCTGGCTTCTATCTGACTCCTCTCTGCCCAGGTGGGCACATTCCGCATGGTCCCTGAAGAGCAGCAGGAGCTCCGGGCACAGCTGGAGCAGCTCACAACCAAGGACCATGGACCTGTCTTTGGCCCATGCAGCCAGATGCCCCACCACACTTTGCAGAAGGTAAGATGCCAGAGTGGGGTGGGGATGAAGGTGCTGGGTGGGACAGCCCAGAAAGCAACACAGTTGCAAGGTGGGATGGACATGACAGGATCCTCTATTTTTTAGAAAGGGTCCAGATTCATTTTCCAGGTCATCCTGGATCTGAGAGACTGGTCTAATTCTAGAGGCTATCCTGGAAGTCAGAGCTATTGAAGCAACTTGGCTGAGCAGCACCCAGACCACCTTAATCCAAGACTCCAGCCTGGACCAGGGAACATCCTAGACTCAAATATAAGGGATACCACTTCAGAAGTATCCTTGATGGACTGGCGAGAGGTCCAAGTTCTAGGATCAGACTTATTTCCAGCTTGCTGTGTGACTTTGAGCAAACAGCTTTCCTTTTCTGCATCTGGTCTTCTGTACCTATTAAATATGATTGATGGATTGGTTCAGAAGTGAGCAGATTATGCTCTGCAGGGGTTGGCAGAGCTGTTTTAGAGTTGTTGGGGGAGGGTGAGAAGTAGCTAAACTGAGCCTGAGAGGCTCCAGCCTCTCATCTCTGCATCTCTAGGTGTCTCTAGTGACAGGTGCTCTCAGTTGCCCACATCTGACTTCCTTCTTCTCACTTCCCTTTCATGCCACTCAGATAAGAGCTGCCTGAGTCCTTCTTACAGCTCTTTTGGCCCAGTAAAGGGGAAGGATCTGAGGCTCTGGAGCTGGAGGCAATCTGCCCTCTGCTGGGAATCTTGACTTTGAAATGATCAGACTCAAGTCTGAAAGGCTGTTGAGTAAAGGGAGGGAGCTGGGGTAGGAGTCCCAGAGGTGCCTCCTTCTGCCTGGGGGACTTTGGGCAAGAACACATCCTCTCCAGAAGCCTTAGCCTGCTTTTCTGAGAGATGGGGATAAGAATACCAACTGTACGGAGTGTAGAGGCCCATTCCTGTAATCCTAGTGTTGGGAGGCAGAGGTAGAATGCAAGATCAAGGCCAACCTTGACTACATAGCAAGACCCTTTCTCAAAATAAATAATTAAAAAAAATAGGATTAGGGATGTGACTCAGTTGGTAGAGTACTTACCCAGTACTTACCTAGAGTGCATGGGGGTCTAAATTCGATCCCCAGCATCACATGAAACTGGGCATGGTGGTATATGCTAGTAATTCCAGAATCTAGGAAGTGGAGGCAGGAGGATCAGAAGTTCAAGGTCAACCTTGGCTACCTATCAAATTTGAGAGCAGCCTGGGCTAGAGACCCTGTCTCAAAACAAAACAAAACAAAACAAAACAAAACAAAAAAACGCACAAAACAAAAAACCAGGCTGGAACAATGGTTCAGAGGTTAAGGGTACTTGCAGAGGATCCCAGTCCAAATCCCAGCACCTACATGGCAGCTAACAACCATCTGTAACTCCAATTCCATGGATCCAATGCCCTTTTCTGACCTCCATGGGCATTTCATGACATGGATGCACTTACATACATGCAAGCAATCACTCATACACATAAAATAAAAATAAAATAATAACAAAAAACAAACAAACCCAATAAACAAAAGCAAGGGCTGATGAGATGACTTCTTAGTGGGGTAAAGTCACTTGCCATCAAGCCTGACCACCTGAATTTGATCCCCAGGACCCATGCGGTGGAAGAAGAGAGCCAACCTCTATAAACAGACCCCCACAAATTGTCCTTTGATCACCACATGACCACTGTACCCCCTACACACAAAATAAATGTAAAGGAGAAATTTTAGAAAGCAACTAAAAAACCAAGCCACAAAAAACAAAACAAAACAAATCAAAAACCAATCCCCAAACCCTCAGAATGAGTTGTGGCAAAGATTAAAAACACAATGCATTTATAAAGGGCTTAGCAGCGTGTTCAGTAAAGGCATAGTACATGTGGGCAGTTGTTAGAAACACTTAGCTCACTGGAAGTTTGCTGCAAACAAACCCAGGCTGAGCCCTTTGACTTTCTCCAAATGCAAACATCTGTGGGCTGTCAGTGCAGCAGGCAGTGGGCAGAGGAGCTAGGCTCTAGCTGCAGCCTCTGGAGCATTCCCAGCAGGCCTGCTTTGATCTGATCCTTGTCACACATGCTCTGCTCCTCAGCAGCACCTATGGTAACTTCTGCCCCCACCCCACCCTGTTCCAGGCCAAGGACGAGCTGAATGAGCAGGAGGAGACCCGGGAAGATGCTGTCAGAGAACTACAGGAGCTGGTGCAGGCAGAGGCAGCTTCTGGGGAGGAGCTGGCCCTGGCGGTGGCTGAGAGGGTACAAGCAAGGGACAGTGCCTTCCTTCTGCGCTTCATTCGTGCCCGCAAGTTCAACATGGGCCGTGCCTATGAGCTGCTCAAAGGTGAGGCCTGCACTGGAGGGCAGGCCCTGGCAAGGTGGGAGGAGGTCTTGAATAGGATGTCCACTGTCTCCACACTAAGACCTCCTCATGCCATGAGGTAGTCACTCTCTCATCTCCACATCCTTCATAAAAGGGGTGTGTGTGAACTGAGTTACCTCCAAGCTCTTTTAGGGCTCTTATAGTGGGTGGATGGGATGACAATGAAATTAGCTAGTCGAGATTGCATTCCTAAAGGAATCTCTTCTCTCTAGGCTTGGGGTTCAATGAGTAGCATTGGGGTACCACATTTGAATGACAAAAGAAGTCATTTCCCTTGTAGAACTACCTTTGACTGTGGACTGCTCCAGGGAAGTGAGCCTGTGCCTCTCCCATGCACGTATCTGAAGCTAAACCCTGGGCCCACTTGAACTGAACTATCTTGGCCCTGCTGGGTGGAGAAAGAAAAGTTTCTAAAGAAATTAGGCCTTTGGTACCTGTTGGGGAAAGGGAGTCTGAACAGGCTCTCTGCAGCCTAATGGCTTTCCCTCTCTTACTTTTTCCCTCCTTCCCCAAATGTCAATTCAATGCCATGCTGGCCCAACCACTGTTTGAAGCTAAAAAGTCCAAGAATCCCCTGCAGTTGTGGAACTTATATTCCTTTCTAATGGTAGAAATGATAAACCTGATAAATAGAATACATACATAGGGTTTTAGTGACAAGGGATAAGGAGAAAAATAAGGGAGGTTGGTAAAGGATAGAGGATTTGAAGTTGTAAGTGAAATGACCAAGACAGCCTCATTGCAAAGGAACTTCTGAGATAAAACCCCAGGGAAATTAGATACTTGGAGGGAGGGTAGCAAAAGGCAAGGCAAGGTGGTATGTGACTGGAGTGTTCTAGAATAGCATAGAAGTTGGTAGCAGTTCCTTGGCAAATGTTCCCCCAAATCCTCCTCAGGGCCAAGGTTGGTGGTACTGATGGCCACATGAAGGCAGGGAAGGCTCAGGGTAGGCTGGATGGTGTTTGTGGGTGGTAGCGGTGCCTCTGAAGTCAGGAAGGGCCTCTGAGTCTAGCTTAAGGTTTGGATTTTATCTTTCAGGGCTCCTCAGTCCTACCCTCCCATCCACTCAGCTGAGCATGTGCCCAGATGGCAACCTGTGCCCTGTTCCCAAGAGAAGGAAAATAACATGCAATAATCATCCTCCTATTTAGAACTATAGCTCATGTCCACACAACTCGCAATGTTCACACTGTGAACCTTGTGTAATTACCATAGCAATTTGGTGAGATGGGCCAGTGTATACTGTCTCATCTTGGGGAGAGGAAACACGGGACTCAGACAGGTGGCGTGTTCAGCTTTGTCATACACAGGCAGGAGCCAGACCTCTGACTCTCAGCACGTGCTGCCCCAGAAGGTTGGCAAGCTAGTCTGGGACGGCTCCTGAGGGGCCTCCTTGGCTGTCTCTCTTCTAGGCTATGTGCACTTCCGGCTCCAGTACCCTGAACTCTTCGATGGCTTGTGTCTGGAGGCTGTCCGCTGCACCATTGAGGCTGGTTACCCTGGTGTCCTTTCCAGTAGGGACAAGTATGGCCGAGTGGTCATGGTCTTCAACATTGAGAACTGGCACTGTGAAGAAATCACCTTTCATGAGGTCAGTGGCAGCATGACTGGGGGGTTGGGGGAGCTGGGTTCCTTCCCCTAACCCTTGTCTCTATTGGATTATAATTGCTGGGCTCCCCTCTGTGGAGGGAGTAAGGCATGTAGCCCACCTGCTACCAGGCCTCTTCCAAGCAGGGAGAGAATTTCTAGGATGTGCGGGGGTGGCTGGGAATCCCAGTAGCTTGGCAAGCAGAGCTCATTGACCTGGTTATCCACAGCTATGCCAAGTGGGGGCAACAGCTGTGGGCAAGGAGTGGTAGGCAGGGGGTGAGGGGGGCGGGGTGGGATTCCCCATCAAATGCTGAGAACTGAGAGTAACAGAGAGAATGAGGATCAGAGGACTGTGGGCTGGAAGATTCTAGAAAGTACAAATTCTGTCCTATTTAACAGCCTATGTTCTGTATATTAATTTGTATGTGACTTCGATTTCTGTTTGTCTACCATTAAGAAGGCTGTTAAGGAAAAGAATTATGGTTTTTTTCTGTTTTTCTTCTCTTTATTTTGCTCTTTCCTTTTTTAATTTTTAAAAATATTTATTTATTTATAATTTATTATTTCTAGGCAAAGTCTCATTTCAGGCTGCCTTCAAATTTGCTGTGTAGCTAAGGATAACTTCTGACTCCTGATCCTCCTGCCTCCACTCCCAAGTGCTGAGAATATAGGCATATGCCACCATATCTGGTTTTATGCAGTGTTAGGGATCAAACCCAGTACTTCGTACATGTTAGACAAGCACTCTATCAACTGAGCTGCATCCCAGCCCGCTCCTGTGTTTTCTAAGTATACTATTGTCTATAAATAAAGGAGGCAATTTTCTTCTCCTTGTCTACTTCTTAGACCCCAGAATAAAAAACAAAATTATTGTATTAGCCAGTCTTTCCAATAGAGTAAAATGGTAATGGAAATGGTAGGCATCCTTATATTATTCCTGGTCTTAGTAAGGGTACCCCCAGTGCTTTCACAGTAAACAAGGTATTAGCTTTAGGACTGAAACTTTTAAAAAATATTTATTTTATTTATAATTATGTGTTGTATGTATGTCTCTATGTGAGTATGTGCACATGAGTGTGGGTGCCCTGGGAGGCCAGAGACATCAGATCTCCCAGAGATGGAGTTATAGGCAGTTATGAGCTGCCTAATGTGGAACCAACTGGGAACTCAACTCAAGCCCTCTGGTTAAGATCAGAACATGTTCTTAACTACTGAACTCCATCCCCAACTGAAGCTTTTTTATGGAACAGGTTTAAAAACATGCATTTTGTTATTACATAATGGTATATGCTCTTTTTAGAATATATTAAAAGCTCAAAATTTCTGTTACCTAGATTTTTTTTCTTTCTTTTTTTTTTTTTTTTTTTTTTTTTTTTTTGCCCCAGCTGTCCTGGAACTCACTATGTAGACCAGGGTCCCCCTGTAGCCTGAGCTGGCCTGGAACTCACTATGTAGACCAGGCTGGTCTTGAACTCACAGAAATCTGCCTGTCTCTGCCTCCGGAATGCTGGAACTAAAGGTATGCACCACCATGCCCGGCTGCTACCTAGATATTTTTACTTTGGCATCCCTCCAAATTACTTTACATGCACACACACACACACACACACACACACGCACATGCACATAAACATTTTTCTTACAAAACTGAAATCCTCAGGTCAGCCAGCCTTGGTGGCATAGGTCTGTAATCCCATCTACTAGGGAGGTTGAGACAAGAGGACTGATTACAAGTTTAAGGCTGCCTGTGCTATAGAGTGCATTCAAGGCCTGCCTAAACAATTTAGTAAGACCCTGGCTAAAAATGAAAAGTAAAAAGAGAGTTGGGCATATGGTTTAGGAGTAGAGCACTTGCCTGGCATTTGCAATACCCTGGGTTCAATCCCTAGTACTGCAATAAAAGGAAGGGAGGGAGGGAGGGAGGGAGGGAGGGAGGGAAGGAAGGAAGGAAGGAAGGAAGGAAGGAAGGAAGGAAGGATAAAAGGGGCCCACAGTAGGCAGTAGGTAATGGTGGTACCTATCTATAATCCTGGCACTCAGGAATCTGTGGTAGGAGGATCTCAAATTCAAGGCTAGCCTGGGATAGTTTTCAAGGCCAACCTGACCTATATAGTGAGATCCTTTAAAGAAGCAAACAGACAAACCAAGGATTAGAGATGTAGCTTAGTGGTGGAATGCTTGTCTAGCATGCCCAAGGTTCTGAGACTGATCTCCAGAACTGAAAAACCAAAATAAAATAAAACAAACACAAAAAAAACAAAAACAACAAGGGATCATTTCTGCAATAAAATGTCATGACAAATTTCCCTATATTGTTACTGTTCTGCATCATTTTTACCACTCCTCAATATTCTGTGGCTTAACGTTAATGTCTCTCCTCTCTTGTTGGACACTTATTTCTGGTGGTTCCACTACTAGAAGAGCGCTGGGATAAACATGATAGCTTCTGATCATGGATGTGATACTGAAGGTTATTTTATTGGCATGCATTCAGAGCGGGGGAATGCCTTAGACAAAGGCTAGTGAAAAATTCCTCCAGTAAAGAATGTGCCAGTTAGCTTTCTGCTCACTGAGGGTTAATTACCTCTCTGGGTTAGATCTTACACCCTGTTTGTTGTGCTCCAGGTTTCCTCATGCTAGAGATACTAGGGCCTCATGCATGAGAGACAAGTGCTCTACCAGCTGAACTACATCCCCAGCCCCTGTGCTCCTAGATCTTGCAGGCTTATTGCTTCATCCTGGAGAAACTGCTGGAGAATGAGGAAACTCAAATTAATGGCTTCTGTATCATTGAGAACTTTAAGGGCTTCACCATGCAGCAGGCAGCAGGACTCCGTGCCTCGGATCTCAGGAAGATGGTGGACATGCTCCAGGTGAGACTGTGGAACCTGCCCCATGGGAACCTCTCAAAGGTGTGGAGGCTTGGCCCAATTTCCCAGTTTCATGATGTAGGCAGGGATCTGAGCAATTGACAATCTAATGCCGATCACAGTAGTGACAGCTGCCATCCCGACTACAAACAATTGCATGGCAATGGACGGTCTGTCAAGTGCAGTCATCATCTCATTGACTCCTTGAAAGCATTTCCTTCCAAATCTGCTGTTTTATCTGACAAACCTGAAAACTGAGGCTTAGAGATTTAAGTGACTTTGCAAGGCCACACAGATATACTTTTTTTATATGATCTGTCCTGGAACCTCAGGCACTCTGGCCATGTGCTTGTGAATTTATACTGTAGAAGGGATACCCAACCCCCTTCTGACTCTTAAATATACACTGAAATTCCCCAGTTTTTTCTTAGCTCTGCTCTATGTGTATTGGGACAGAAGAGGTGGGAGGTGGTGGGCATGGGGGTGGCTGAAGAACAAATAGGTGTGACAGTGATGTCTGTATGATCTATAATGGTTTGAAGTCAACTTAGTGGGCACATGGTTTGAAAAGACTCAATCATCCAGGTTGGAGACATAGCTCGGTTGGTAGAAGGCTTGTTTAGCATGCACAAAACCCTGAATTTGATCCTCAGTACTGCATAAACTGGCTGTGGTGTCAAATGCAATACCTATGGAGACCAGAAGAGGGTGCTGGATCCTTGGAACTGGAAGTATGGGTAGTTGTTAGCCACCATGTGGGTGCTGGGAATTGAACCCAGGTCCTCCAAAAGAACAATTGTTCTTCACTGCTAAGCCATCTCTCCAACCCCTTAATTTATTTTTAAAAAATATTTTATTATTTTTATTTTATGTATATGAGTGTTTTGCCTGCATGTGTATAAGTGTTCTTGTGTTGTGCAATGCCTGAGGAGAACAGAAGAGTGTGTTGGATCCCCTGGAACTGGAGTTACGGACGATTCCTAGCTGCCATGTGGGTGCTGGGAATTGAACCTGGGTCTCCTGCAATAACAGCCTGCATGCAGTGCCCACAGAGGCCAGAAGAGGGTGTTGGATCCCCTGGAACTGGAGTTACAGGTGGTTGTTAGCCACCATGTACGTGCTAGGAATCAAACCTGGGTCCTCTGGAAGAGTAGCAAATGTTCTTAATCTCAGAGCCATCTCTCTAGCCCCTTATTTAATTTCTTTACTTAATTCTAGAGCTTCCTTTTTGTTTTTGTTCTGCATCATGGGACAGCATTAAGTTATGTGACTTGTAGGGCTTCCTCCCTGCATGTTGGAGCCACAATGAAATCCATGGTCTCTGGTGGCTGGCCCACCATGCAGCTTTCGGTGGGATATCTCTGGGGTAACATATGATGCTGGACAAGTCCATCTTCATGTTATGGGGAGAGGCTCTGTGTGTGTGTGTGTGTGTGTGTGTGTGTGTGTGTGTGTGTGTGTACTGGTGAGTAGGAACCTCTGAGGCCATTGGGGCCATGGGGTATGGGGTGTCTCTCTGTCACTGCAGGATTCCTTCCCAGCCAGATTCAAAGCCATCCACTTCATTCATCAGCCATGGTATTTCACCACCACCTATAATGTGGTCAAGCCCTTCCTGAAGAGCAAGCTGCTACAGAGGGTGAGTGCATAGCTGTCACCTGAGCCTTCCTCAGATGCTGCAGTCTGGTTCCAAGCTGCTGTCCTTTGACAGCACCACATGGAGGACTGAGGAGGGCATCACCAGGCAAAGATGGCACACTGTGGCTTCCCATCCCTCTCCTCCTCACCCCTCTCATCTTTAGGCTCTTCCTGTTCAGCTGACCTCCTCACTTCCCTGCAGGTCTTTGTCCATGGAGATGACCTCACTGGCTTCTTTCAGGAGATCGATGAGAGCATCCTACCTGCTGACTTTGGGGGCACGCTGCCCAAGTATGATGGCAAGGTTGTTGCTGAGCATCTCTTTGGCCCCCGGGCTGAGGATGAGAACACAGCCTTATAAGGACATGCTCTGCCCTCTGATCTGTACTTAAAATCCTAGTCCTTTCTTAGCTGTTCTGGACCCAAGTCTGGGAAAAGGCTGCCTAAGGTGACCGTGGTTTTCCTGAACCTCCTTAGGTTTAGGGGAGCTCAGGGGTCACCTCATTTCAAACTGGTGGTAGAGGATAGAAGCAGGGGAATTCCTTTAAACAAGAAACTTGGGGGCTGTTCTATTCCCACTTGCCTCTGAAGCTGTAGGGCAGTGACTGTGAGAAGCTGAATTTCAAAGACGAATTAGGTTTCTCCATGATCTCCTTTGTTACTTTGATACTTTGGGTCTGAATGGCTGAGTTAAAACCTCTCCCCCAATTCAATAAAAAGATGAACCAAGAGGGCTTGAAGTTCTTTTTTCTTTAATATTTTACTTACTATTTTTATTTTATGTATATGAGTGTATTGCCTGCATGTATGTGAGTGCACCCGTGTTGTGTAATGCTGCGGAGGTCAGAAGAGGGCTTTGGATTCCCCTGGAACGGGAGTTAAGGAAGGTTCGTAGCTGCCATGTGGGTGCTGGGAATTCAGCCCAGGTCCTCTGTAAGAGCAGCCAGTGCTCTTAACTGCTGAGCCATCTCTCCAGCCCCAACAGGGCTTGAAGTTCTAATGATTTGGCAAACACGGTGTCCTGCAGGTAGGCAAGGGTTTTCCCACAGAGAATTCCAAGGAGGAAGCAGACTTGGAACAGCTTCATTTGGGATAACCAGTTCTTCTCTGTCAGTTATAGTCTGATGACTCCTATTAATCGAGGAACTTGTAACTCTTTCCAGGGTGGCAGTGGTGTCCCTTCTTTGCTCTCTGCCTTAGGGGAGGTCCGTGGGGGTAGGGTCTTCTTCACTAGACGTTTTCTTCATCAGACTCTTTGCCTTATGGATGGTTTTATTTAAATTTATGCTCAGTATCTTCTCTGAGCACTCTCAGTCCTCAAGTTATATAGTTAAAGCTATTCATCTTTTATATCATGTACTTTAGGGATAAACTTATATTCCCCAGATCTGCATATTTTCAAAAAAATTGTATTATTTTTATTTTATGTGAGTGGCTGTATTGCCTGCATGTATGTAAGTGCACCCATGTTGTACAATGCCCATGGAGGTCAGAAGAGGGCATTGGATCCCATGGAACTGGAGTTACAGATGGCTGCCATGTGGGTGCTAGTATTCAAACTGGGGTCCTGTGCAAGAGCAGCCAGTCCTCTTAGCCACTGAGCCATTTCTCCAGCCCCCAAATCTGAATGTTTTCATACAAATGCTTTCCTCTTGTGAAACTGGCTTTCTACAAGGTTGTAGTGATTTCTGAGTGTGTGTTCATTTTGTAGGTGAGAAGCCCTGCTTGCTGAGCATGTGGCTTCTCTTAGCACAGTACTGGCTCTTCTGGGCATGGGGCTCCCAGGCATTGATTGATAGTGTTACAAATCATTACTCTTATTTGCTTAGCTGGTATCATGCACTCATGCCTGTTGTCTGGCTAGTGATGGTGGATGGAGGTGAGGGTTGACTGATCTGGTTGATGTACTGGGATAGCACCAAAGTAAGAGTTAATCTATTCTTGTCTGTGGATCACTGCTTTCTTGTATATATGAAACATTCCTGGTGCTGTAAATCTTTTGTGGACCTTCCAACTGTTTCCTGAATGATGAGGTCAATCCAATAATCCATCTGTTTACAGACTTTCTAAAATTTCTCTGATCCACATTTTCCTTCTTGATTTCCTATGAGACTATGCAAATATATGTGTGTATGTGAATGCAAACATATATGTGTATGCATCTTTCTCTCCTTTCTCTTTGTCTCTTTGTTTCTTTTTCTTTTTTTCTTTTGGGTCAGAAGAGGGCATTGGATCCCATGGAACTGGAGTTACAGATGGCTGCCATGTGGGTGCTAGTATTCAAACTGGGGTCCTGTGCAAGAGCAGCCAGTCCTCTTAGCCACTGAGCCATTTCTCCAGCCCCCAAATCTGAATGTTTTCATACAAATGCTTTCCTCTTGTGAAACTGGCTTTCTACAAGGTTGTAGTGATTTCTGAGTGTGTGTTCATTTTGTAGGTGAGAAGCCCTGCTTGCTGAGCATGTGGCTTCTCTTAGCACAGTACTGGCTCTTCTGGGCATGGGGCTCCCAGGCATTGATTGATAGTGTTACAAATCATTACTCTTATTTGCTTAGCTGGTATCATGCACTCATGCCTGTTGTCTGGCTAGTGATGGTGGATGGAGGTGAGGGTTGACTGATCTGGTTGATGTACTGGGATAGCACCAAAGTAAGAGTTAATCTATTCTTGTCTGTGGATCACTGCTTTCTTGTATATATGAAACATTCCTGGTGCTGTAAATCTTTTGTGGACCTTCCAACTGTTTCCTGAATGATGAGGTCAATCCAATAATCCATCTGTTTACAGACTTTCTAAAATTTCTCTGATCCACATTTTCCTTCTTGATTTCCTATGAGACTATGCAAATATATGTGTGTATGTGAATGCAAACATATATGTGTATGCATCTTTCTCTCCTTTCTCTTTGTCTCTTTGTTTCTTTTTCTTTTTTTCTTTTGAAACAGGGTCTCACTCTCAGGCTGGCCTTGTACTCATGGCAACCCTCCTGCCTCAGCCTCCTAAGAGCTGCGATTACAGGCATGTACTACTACACTTGGCTTGTATGCATTAATTTCTTTCTTTTTGGGGGGCTGGAGAGATGACTCAGTGGTTAAGAGTGCTGACTGCTCTTGCAGAGACCTGGGTTTGATTCCCAGCACCCACATGGCAGCTACGAACCATCCTTAACTCCAGTTCCAGGGAAATCCAAAGCCCTCTTCTGACTTCTGCGGCCTTGCACGGCATGGGTGCACTTACCTACATGCAGGCAATAAATAATAAATTTATTCTTATTTTGTGTGTATGCATGTATTGCCTGCATGTAGGTAAGTGCACCCGTGTTGGGCAATGCCCTCAGAGGTCAGAAGAGGCTGTCAGATCCCCTGGGACTGGAGTTAGAGAGTTGTTAGCTGCCATGTGGGTGCTAGGATTCGAACCCGGGTCTTCTGCAAGAACAACCAGTGTTCTTAACCGCTGAGCCATCTCTCTAGCCCTAATTTCTTTCTTTAAAAAATTTAAATTATATTTTATTTTGTGTGTGTCTGTGTGTGTTGTGGTGCAGTCTATATGTGGAAGTCAGAGGACAACTTGTGGGAGTTGATTCTCTCCTTCCAACATGTGTGTCCTGAGGATCAAACTTAGATTGTCAGGCTCTGTGGCAAGTGCCTTTACCTGTTGAACCATCTGCATTGGTTTAAATATTTTTATTTTTTTATTTTTATTTTATGTGTATGAGTGTATTGCCTGCATGTATGTAAGTGCACCTGTGTTATGCAATGCCCAAGGAGGTCATGAGAGGGCATTGGCTCCCCTGGAACTAGAGTTACAGTTGTCTCTCTTAGCTACTTTTTAAAAGTTGAAGCTCCCATTTTTCAAACCAAATCTTACATGGAACCTTGGTAAGGAACCTTGGTAATTGTAAGGGGCCAAGGATTTAACTGAGTTAGACTTTATTTTTTATTTTCTTATTACATGTATGTATGTATGTATGTATGTGCACTTGCCCATGCATGTGTGTATGGAGACCAGAGGTTGATGTTGAGTGTCTTCCTCTACTGCTCGCCACCTTATTTTTTGGAGACAGGGTCTCTCACTGAAACTGGAGCTTACTGTCTTAGCTAGACTGGTTGGCCAGCGAGCCTCTTACCTGTTCCTGCTTCCCCAGGATTGGGCTTACATATGTGTTTTTATATGGGTGCTAGAGATTCCAACTCAGGTCCTCATGCTTGCACAGCAAACCCTTTATCCATGGAGCCATTGCCCTAGCCCTGAGGAATAAGTATTTTTTGTTCTAAGATATACTTCTAATTATTTTACCAGCCTTATATTATAAACTTGAGAGAACAGTTGCTGATCCTGTTAGTTAATTCCTGTCTTTGCCCTGGATCTCTAATTGCCCAGAGCCCTCCTAGATGCAGCCTAGGCCTCTTGGTTCGTGGCAGCTCTACATTTATAAATGAGGTCAAGATAGGAGAAAACTGTAGATAGATGCTGGCTAGAAGGCTCTTGGGGGCAACCCTAGCTCCTACACAAGCCCCAACAGGTTGCTGGGATCACCTTAAAATCATCAAGGCAAGGACCTAAACTCAGGGATCATCTCACAAGAAAACCAGGTGGCATTTGAGGAAGAAACCATAGGGTTGGGACCCTGTGCGCCTGCTGTGTATTTGCACTGCCCCTTGCTGGCCTTGTCTTGGCACAGCCTGCTGCCATTGGGAGAATGGGGGAGACTAAGAATCTGAGTTTAGTTTAGACGTAACTCAGTTAGCCCTGTAAAATCCGAGGGCCTCTCTATCTGCAATTCTTGTTGTATCCTTCCTCTTGCACTAATGAGATAGAAGAAGAACAAAAAAAATTTTTTTTGAAAGTCACAGGAAGGGGAACAAAGAAGCCTGAGTTTATGGCAACCATTTGGTCCCTATAATAGCTTCGGAGACATCTAGCACAAGACCCCACACTGAGTGGAGCAGGATATGAGCTGGAAGGTTAGAGCTGTGCATTTCTGCCATCCTCTTGTGGCCCTTCAAAAATTGGGGACGGTAGATTCTAGTGGCCATTCATCCAAATGTGAGTGGAGAGATGGTCCTAGCTTTGAAGAACCTCTCCATGGGGCTGGCCACTGCTTGGAGCCTTGAGCTCACCTGGTGACTCTGGAGTAGGCCAGTGTTGCCTCGTGGTATGACAAAGGCTCCTGGAAGAAGTGTGTGCCTTTGTCTTATGTCAAGCCAGCCAGAAGAAGAGAGAGAGATTTACCTAAGGAGTGCATTGGACCTTTTCTGCTCCCACTTCTGGTGTGAGGGGGGAACACAGCCCTGATGCTAGGAAACTCAGTACAGTTGGATCTGGAAGCTTGAAGGATCCCCTGAATCTTGCAGGATCTCCATGCAAGGGGTACTCCCAGGAAGGTAGCATTGCCTTGTTTGGGAGGCCTACCAGGATTGCAGAACATAAGGCTCCTCTCACACCTACTGAATCAGAACTTGCATTTTAAACAAGACTCTCAGGGGATTGTGCATTCAAGAAATCATCAAAACTTCCAATGCAGTGGCTTTTGAACTATGCCCACTGGTAGCCTCTGGCTAGGGAGCTTTAAAGAAGTTACTTTGATTTGGCCCTAGCCCCATCCCAGTTAGATATGTTACACAGGGTCTCATGTAGCCCAGGCTGGCCTCAAAACTGACATGTAGCTGAAGATGACTTTAAACTTCGGACCCTTCTGTCTTTATCTCCCGAGCACTGGGACTATAGGCCATTGTGCCACCATGCCAGGTTTATGCAGTGCTGGAGATCCAACCCATGGCTTCATGCAAGCCATACTCTACCAACTGAGCTACATTCCCAGTCCCACAGAGGTTCTGATGTACTTCGTCTGGCATACCATATGGGCATCAGCTTATTTCTAAGCTCCCCAGTGACTCAAATTTGCACTACTTATGCCCTGTGTGTGAAAAATATTACTTGAGCATCTCAAAAGCTTTTTCATTCATTAATTAAAGGGTTTTTATGTATCCCAAACTGGCCTCACAGCAATCCTCCTGTTTGAGTTTCCTGAATGATGCAATTAAAGCCATGTGCCACCTTGCCAAGCCTAAGAAATTTTTTTAAAAAGATATTTTAGGGTTGGAGAGATGACTCAGCAGTTATGAGCACTGATTGCTCTTGCAAAGGACTAGGGTTTGATTTCCAGCACCCACATGGTGCTAACAACCATCCATAACTCCTGTTCCAGGGGATCCAATGCCCTCTTCTGACTTCCATGGGCTTTGCATGACACAGGTGCACTTACATACATGCAGACAATACACTTACCCACATTAAAAATAAATACATATTTTAAAAGATTTAAAAAATTTTATGTCTGAGCATATTGCCTGCATATATGTAAGTACACCTGTATCATGCAATGCCCTAGGAGGTCAGAAGAGGGCATTGGATCCCCTGGAAATGGAGTTATGGACGGTTGTTAGCTGCTATGTGGGTGCTGGGATTTGAACCTGAATCCCCTGCAAGAGCAGCCAGTGCTCTTAACTGCTGAGCTATCTCTCCAGCTCCAGAATTTTTATTCTTATTAAAAGTTAAAATGAATATGGTCAAAACCATATTATATGTATGAAAATTTCAAAGAATCAATAAAAAGGTGGATGTGGTGGTACGCACTTTTACTAGCATTGGGGAGGCAGAGGAAGGTGGATCTCTGTGAGGTCAGCTTTGTCTGCATAGAGAGTTCCAAGCCAGTCAGAACTACATAGTGAGATCCTTTCTCAAAAAAAATCAATCTTTTTTTTTTTTTTTGGCCTTTTTGAGACAGGGTCTCCCTGTAGCCCCAGCTGTCCTGGAACTCACTATGTAGACCAGGCTGGCCTTGAACTCACAGAAATCTGCCTGTCTCTACCTCTCGAGTGCTGGGATTAAAGGCGTGCGCCACCATGCCTGGTGAAAATATTTTTTAACAATTAAAATCTATCAGGTGAGGTGGTAGGTGCCTTTAATCCCAGCACTCAGGAGGCAGAGGCAGGCAGATCTCTGTGAGTTCAAGGCCAGCCTGGTCTACATAGCAAGCAGCTGGGGCTACAGGGAAAGTCTATCTCAAAAAGACCAAAAAAAAAAAAAAATGGCATCAGGAGAGCTGGCTCAGTGGTTAAAGGTACTTGCTGTCTTGCAGAGGACCAGGGTTTGAATCTCAACACCCACATGGTGGCTAACAACCATCTGTAACTCCAGTTCCAAGGGACAGACATCCTCTTCTGGCTTCCATGGGTACTGCATGCATGTGATGCACTTATATACATCCAGGCAAAACACTCATACACATAAAATAATAAATGTTTTAAAAAAATCAAAGGCTAGGCAGTGGCTAATATGGGACCCTGCTTCTGAGTCCCTTTGATTCTGTTACTACACATGCTTTGCTTTAATGTTGGCCTTATTTCTTGGAGTGGGTGAGACACAGATAGGAATGGGAAGAGGAACAATGGTGTGAAAATTCATTTATGCCAGAAAAATTTCCCAAACATAAGATAAAGGAGGAAATAAATTTTTTAAAATTTTTATGTGAATGAGTGTTTTGCCTGTATGTAAGTGTATCACCTGCCTACAATGCCTCTAGGGGTCAGAAGGTGCTGTTGGATCTCCTGGCACATGGCTATTAGCTGCCATGTTGAGTGCTGGGAACCAAACCCTAGTCCTCTGCAAGAGCAGTCAGTGCTCTTAACTGACAAACCATCTCTCCAGCCCCTAAGGAAGAAATAACTTTAAGAGGAAACTGATGAATGTTTGGTAGGGTTGCTGGGTAATTTCAACTCTAAGATGAGAAAGAAGTTCTGGGTGACACAGAGCCACAAGACGGTTTTGTCTTCTCTGGGAAGAGGTTTGGCAGTTCAACTGTCTGTAATGTCTTTGAAGCACTCAAAACAGTGGGGGGCTTTCTGTGAGTTGCTCTAGGGACATTCCAGAGAGAAATGGAGGTGTTGGGGAGGCTACTATATGGAGAGCCATCCAATTAGACATTGGGTCCTCATCATGTGAAAGCGGTCCCTTTAAGATAAGCAGAATGTGGGAGGGTGTGCTGCCTGTGACCACAAAGGTTAATGAGGAGAAAGAAGAATCTTTAAGTTGTGCTTTATTCAGAGAGCTGGTGCTCTGACAAGGCAGCAGACTTAATGTCTATTGATTGATTGATTGTAGAGGGCTGCACATGTGTCAGATTTAATGTCTTTAAAACACTTACCTTATATCTCATTTCTAGCCAGCAGGCTTTGTGAAAATTGGGGGTGGAACAAAGTAGGTATTTCAGAGTTCAACCGTGCCCCTCTGTGAGGTGTCAGCACATTTCTGAGATTTTTTTTTTTTTTTTTTTTTAATGTCTGTGTCTTTCCCTTGCACCCTCCCTTCATTCTCTGAATATCTGAAGCTTAGGCACTTCTTGGAACACTGAGTCTAGTTAGTGTTTTTTGGCATCAACCTTGTACTTCCACAGGGGCATCGAGATGTGTGTATGCATGGCTAACACAGAACAAACTGTTAACAGTTCATAAGTGTTAAGCTATTAATAACATGCATATGCAGCTTCCTTTCTACAATATAGAATACAAATGCATCTTTGTAATACAGGTACAAAGGGCCACCATCTGTCTCTCCTGACAACAGGACCAGGGCTGAGGAGCCTGTTTGTGAAAGGTATAATGAAAAATGCATTAATTTGTGCTGAGCACTAATGCCACAGGGTTGCCCAGCAGAGGTGTGGTAAATGCTGTGCTGCTGGTACTGACTCTAACATCCTGGATCTGAAATCCCTCCCCGCCTTTTTGTTTTTTTAATACTTCTTAATTTTTTTTTTTGGTGCTGGGGACTGAGATCAGAGCCTTGTCCTTGCTGAGCAAGCGCTCTACCACCAAGAACCCTGTAGGTAAGATTCTTTACAAGCTGGCTTTCTTAGATCAAAATAGTGTGGCTGTTTTGCAGGTGACAGGAAATGAGAATTTTAAATTTGAATGTTGGGCATTCTTAGGTCTTGTTAGTTCACACCTTCCCAAACCAACACTCCCCACCTTGCTTAGCTTGACAAAGGTTTTGCATGTAATTGGAGGGAGGAGGGCTCTGAGTGCAGGGCTCTTGGAAGTGGTTCAGCTCTTCCCGCTGAGCAAGTGTTTGGTCCTAAAAGACCCTTCAGTTGGATTTAGATCCAAAGGAGAGAAAACACTGCCACTAAGCTGGGTGTGGTGGCACATATCTATGAGCCCAGCACTTGGGGGCAGAGGCAGTTGAGGAGTTAAGGAGTTGAGGGCTACATGGTGACTCTGAGGCAAACCTGGGCTACATGAGACCCTGTGTCAAGAAAACAAGACAAAACAAAACAAGGAAGGATGGACTAGGCCATGCAACCAACCTAATATAACCTTGACATAAGTGACAGTCACCTGCTTTATTCAAAGATTTTCAAAAATTTTGTTTTTATTTTTTTATGTGTATGAGTGTATTGCCTGCACGTATGTGAGTGCACCCATGTCATGCAATACCTTGGAGTTCAGAAGAGGGCTTCAGATTCCCTTGTAAGTTAAGGCCACCATGTGGGTGCTGGGGATCAAACCTGGGTCCTCTGCAAGAGCAATGGGTGCTCTTAACCGCTGAGCCATCTCTCCAGCCCCTCAAAGGTTTTTTTTTTAAATCTCAAACTTTTTAAAAGTTCATTTTATTTTTCTCTGTATGCGTGTTTTGCTTGCATGTATTAAGTGCACCTGTGCATGCAATGCCCATGAAAGCCAGAAGAGGGCATTGGATGCCCTGGAACTGGAGCTACAGTTATCTGCCATGTGGGTGCTGGGATTTGAACCTGGGTCCTCTGCAAGGGCAGCCAGTGTTCTTAACCACTGAGCCATCTCTGCAGCCCTTTTCAAACATTACTGAAAAAGTATACAAGCTACAAAGGGCAAGCACCATTTCCACTTTGCCTCGCATTCTATTTATGGTCTTCGCTTTAGGAAGTGTGCATTAAAAGATGCTGCTACCTCACTTATTTCAGATTCTTTTCTTGCTTGCCTAGAGAGGACGGGCTTGTGTTGGGCATGTATGAGCTGGTCATGTCTGATTTGCAGGGCTGGTTTAACATTATTCATAATGGGAAACGGGTGTTCTGCACATTTCTACTAAGCTCTATGCTCTGATGCAAACACAGGATGAACCCTTCGTGTGTGTGTGTAGTGTGCACTCATGTGAAGGCCAGAGGTCAACATCAGGTATCTTCCTCTACTGCTCTCCACTGTAATTTTTAAGACAGGGTCTCTATTGAACCTGGAGCTTTCCCATTTTGGCCAGCAAGTCCCAGATACACCCTTTTATGTAGAAAAGCCTTAGAGAAACAACACAAGCAAGCACCCTACATTTTCAGTCTTTATTTTTTTTTAAGTAAAGAAATTCCATTGAATCAAAGATAACAAAATTACAGTTTTTGTTTGTAATGACCTTTGATCACCACCACACAGAATCAAAGTAGAATCAAAAGTAATGTGAGAACATAAAGTAATCAAGGACACCATTGTTTAGTATAATTTCTTAATAAAGGTAACTATCCTCATATTTAGAAAAAATTGCATTGCTAGTTGCAAATCTGAAACACCTTGGTGCCAGAGGATTCTGTATTTCCCTCTACTTGGCAGCACAGAGGCTTTCAGAGCACAAACTCAAAAATACAGTATTTCCATGGCAGCATTTGAAGTTTCATGAACCCAAAGAGAACAAAATGAAAACAAACTAGAATCAGGAATGTGAAAGTGATGGTTCTCAAAAATCAATCTGGAAGCAGATCTGCCAACATAAGACTGTGGTTAGTTGGAATCTAACAAGGAAAAGGAGGGTGGCAAACTGGCCCCCTCCTCCATGCCAGCCCTGGTGTCACTAAGGCAGCTGCAGTGGCAGAAAGAAGTTGAAAGCTCAGGTACAGTGAAGGTCTTCCTGAGGCAGCGGGAGAGACCCAGATCATCTGGAATGGATGTGGAGAGCAGACAGGATTCTATGAAGGCTTGTGCTTTAGGAAAACTAAAGAGGCCAAAATGAAGACTAGAGTGAACCTAGCTCTTATGGGCAGGAGTGGGGTTCCCTCATGTGAGTGGCCCAGGAGCACAGTGGTTGGTGCTGGGGACTAAGGGGGTTGGCAATTATTTTAGGAAACTATTAGCCACTGCATGTGTGTGGTATGGAAGGAGAACGCCCATTGAAACTAGGGGCATTTCTGCAAGTGCTAGAAGTGGACTGTCCCTGGTTTATGGCAATATGGGATTTCCTGGTGAATGGGGGACCAGAATGGGGAGAAGGAAGGTTAAGGCTTTTATTACTAATTGACAGGAATCTAGTTAAAAGCTGAGAATTTCATGAAACTCAGGATGTCAGACTTAATCCTCCAGTTCAAAATGAACTTCAGCTTACTTATTAGGTACACATGAAAAACCTACCCTCATACATGCTAAGAAGAAACAGATCAGAAAACGTGGTGGACAGATTCTTCCAAAGGGAGCAGCTGTCTATATTCTAGGCATCTAAGGATGACTGGCAAGTTGGACTCTGTGGCCTATTTCTAAGGGTCACTAAGGAGGATGCTGGGCTGCAGCACCTGGTGGCAGCAGCAGTAGCTACAGGTCAGAGGAGCAGCCTTTGCTCTGGATGGCATCCCGGTTCCCTCTGCCAGTAGGGGTCGGTTCTCATGTTTTCAGCTGTAAATATAGTTTAGAAAAAGCAATTCTAGTTTACAAAGTAGGGTTATTGGCTTTTGCTTAGATAACAGAGGTGGGAGAAAACCTGGCCCTCAATTGCTAAATGCCCCAGGCAGGCTGCGAGTGATCCAAACTGACTTTGAAAGAAAGTAAGGCCAAGAAGACAGGTAGGGAGACAGGTGCTGGAGATGTTCCAGATTATTCATGTTGTTGGGGATGAAAATGTGGACATGACATCATAAGAAGCCTCCAGGCCACCTGATGAAATTCTCTGGTATTGCTGTGGCTTTGCTTCAAACATTTATAACAGAAGAATTTGAATTCCTATGCCATAATGCTGTCATACCAGGGGGTTTTCTAGAGGCAAGTTAAGGCTTTCTGGGTAAGGAAAACAATTTCAGATGATACTGTGACAGAACACTAAAGTGAAATGCTTCCTAAGACCTCTCCTGTGTGCCTAAAGGAAAAACCCATGAGGTCCTTCAACTCCACATGCTTTTAAAAAAAACTTGTCACTCTAAGTTAGGATCAGGGCCATAAGAAAAGAAAAGCCTCTCACATCTCTGACACCTGCTTCCCCAGCAAACACAAACAAGAACACATGTACTATTACCCTGGAGCTGGCAAAATCTACCTCAAGTCATCTAGTTACAAAGAGAGCATTCATTCAGATGCCAGCCATAAAAAGCTCAACTACCCAGCAAGTTCATCTGAGTGGAGACTGGATTTAGAGTGAGAACCTGAGCAGGATGGATTTCTGCCCTAGCAATTCTCCATGCTCTGCCTGGTCACACTAAATGCTGGAGATACTATCTTTATCCCAATGGCTCTTAGATGCCACAGTTACAAGACCACTCTGACAATAGCAAAAAAACTTGTTATAGCAGTGGAGACAAGTAAGAGGCCAAAGACGTTGTCTTTGGATGCTATCCAAGGTCCTAACTAGAAAAAGCTGTATGTACAAACTCCCTGTCCCCAAGTCCTCTTGAGATGAGCCTAGGGGCCGTGACCCTCCTGTTTCTACCTGCAAGGGCCTTAGAGGCCAAGTTCAGACAAATAATTAGCAGTGGCTGAACAAATGATAGATACATGAGTGGTTGAAGTAGTCTTAGACGTAGGATGAGGTAAGAGGCTTGGAGAGGTGAAATGACTTGCCCATGTGTTCAATATGATTCAGAGCAAGTGGGGATGAGAAGACAGGCCTTCCAGACCCTGGTTCCATAACACCATGAGAATAAAGGACTACTGCCCTTTCAGGCATACTTTAGTAGATCCTAAGGTTCTCTACAAGTATAAAATGCCGCAGAAGTTAAAAGAATATAGTACAATAAACTTTCCATCTTCATTCTGCTCTGAGATCAGTGGTGCAAAGTCACTAAAGGAAAGAAAGGGATTTCTTCAAGTCTGAAACTCCCTGCCATTAGAAATGCAGTCTTGACACTTTTTCCAAGATAGGTAATCCTAATTTGATAGGAATCTTCAAATTATTTAGGAGGCAGGAAATACAACTGGAGAAATATGGATGCTTTCCCCCTTGGTTTTAATGTTATTCTTGCTACAGAATTGTCTAAATCTATGAAATTTATATCATTGATTTTAAAACAAAAATTCAAACATTCTCTAAAAAGTTAGCCTTGTTTTAGTCCAAATAAGTCCTTAAATAGCAAGAGGACAATTCACAACATTATCAGAAAGTAATGACTTTGGGAAAAAAAGCAAGGAAGCCCAGAGGAAGGAAAGAGGAAGAAGAGGATGACCCATATACAGAGCAGCTCCCTCATTTATCAGGCGAGTTGGCATCTCTACACTCAGTGCCTCTGTGCTCATTCAGCATCAAACAAAAATTTTCCTGTAAGTCGGCCACGGTCATGTTCTCATTTCCATTCCTGAGAACCTGAACTTGAATAAAGAGCTTCAGTTGATTTTGTGTGAACCAAAATGAAACGTCAGTGCCATTCAGAGCCATACACTAAGGGGCTTTCAGCTGGAACATGCCCCGCTCCCCCAGTCATGGGGGGTGGAATTCCGGTAGTGTGGGTGACAAAGGCTGTGTCCCAGCCCTGCCTCTCCTCTGTGGGCCCCCAGGACTGCTGTGCAGGCCAGGTTCCCACCTCCTTCCAAAAGTGACAACAGGGCTGACATATCCCCTGAAGGGGGGTAGTCCCCAGGGCACTGCTCTGTCAGTAGAGAGAAAAATGTGGCCTCAGGCAAGTGAAGGGAGCCCCTTGCTTCCTGGGATGGTGACACCTTATTGCTTGGTTTACTTATTTTCATAACAAGTCTCGAGGAATGACCATAGTAGTGGGACCTATGTGAATCTTCTAGATCATAGCTGCAATTGTGTGGAGGGAAAATTGACAGAGAAGGACTATAGCTTCCAAATTGAGGGATGAATAATAAAGTGCCAATGTGTACTAAAAGGATATAAACAAGAAATGCAGCAGAGAAATGAAACTTTGAGGGTGGGGAAGCACAGTGACAGAATTTTATGTGAGAAATTATATCAAAGCAAAGTTGAGACCATAGACATCTCAGTCTTTTGAAAGCATGGCAATTTATGATGTTATTGGGATGATCTGGTGATTGTCAGAAAACAATTTCTTCAGCTTACAGACATTACTGTCACAGTCACTTGGACCAATGCCCAAGCTATATTCCATCTGTGGCCCTGAGGGTTGGCATTCAGGTGTTTAGGTGGCTCCCTTAAACAGCCACACAGACCACTACTATATTCCAGTCTGTCTTGGAGTCAAAGGAGATGAAATAGAGGGGAAAAAGCTTAACAGCAGCCAGGCAATTCATCCACTGTTCGGTTTAGTTCCAGATAGCAACTGCTGATTTTTGAAAGTGCAGGATTTTTAGAAATTCAAGTGCCACAGGATTCCAGAAAGGGAGTACTTGAACCCTAGAGTGATACGTCCATTGAGGAGACATTGGGAAAGATCTATCCAACAGACAACACACAGAGGTTATTTAATTACAAAGCTGCTTTTCAAATAGTGACCTGTTCAGCTGGAAATATATTTCTTCAAACTCAGATCCAACTTTTGAATTGTTTGGTATCAAAACCCAGAGTTAGAGGGACCCAAGATAAAAACCTAAAAATCACAAGTGAGTGCTTAAGATCTCCAAATCTCTTTATATGAAGTAGGGGAGGGAGAAAGAATTGCAAATGACATCTGCATGCTCAGCCTGGGAGAGGGTCTCCCGGATCTCCCTGGAGGGATGTTCTCTCAAACCTCAGTACACTGAGTTTGTCATTGAACTTCAGAACTGGTGGTCATCTCGGCAATTTACCTGGCCCAAGTCCCCCATTTCATAAGGGAAAAGAGTCAAGTCCAAAGGGACTTATCCAGGGTCATATAGCCGGGGAGAAGCAGAGCCAGGGCTCAGTCCAAATGTCCACTCCCGCCCAGGGCTTTTTTTGGGGACACCATACTGAGATCACATGAGGGCATCCACACAACAGGTCTTGAGGCCCCTGGGAGCAAAGAGATTATATAGACTATGAATGTCAATAAAATGAGCCACCAAGATGTTTCTATCTAAAGGAGCTACAGCTCGGTGTTTCCCTCAGTTTGCTGGGTGATGACAATCCCTTGGGGCACTTGTCAAAAATTAAAATCCCCAGACCCCTTCCCAGACCCACTAAATCAGCCTCTCCTAGGGGAGGGACCTGGGAGGCTGAATTTTTAAACAAATGCCCCACGCGACTCTCAGCAGCAGCAAGATTCGAGGAAATCATCTTGGAAGATGGCGAGGGAGAAAACTTGTCTTGCAACTCAAGAATTTCCTGTTTCAGAGGTGAAGCTCAGGTCTGGGAGGCCTCAGGCTTTCAGACTCCCAAGCTGAGTGGTTTCTTCAGCATTGGTCTGTGATGCTGAACTCTTGGGGGCTCCATCAAGGAAGTATAACCATCACAAAATAACATACATCCTTCACTGTTCTCAGGGAAAGGCCTTTTGATTGGCAAAACTGCTGTTCAGACACATTTTTTAATAGGAAAACTAGATGTAATTGGCTTGAAAGTAATCAGATGCTGAAACTGGACAGGAGGGTGAGAATCCTGTCACTTGTCATCATGGCTAACAATGCAATGGAGAAAACCCGTAACTAAGCACAAAAATAGCCTGGAGCTCCCAGGGAGAGCTGCCTACTTGAGACAGGTTGCATGGTGGGTTGCCCCCGCTGATGGTGTGAGGTCAGATCCAGGTCACTGAGGGAGATGGGAGACCTGAAACATCCTTCAAGGGGACGTGGGTTCCAGAGGAGGGCCACTGGAGCGCGCCGGGAGTCCGGAGGCCTCAATCTAACTCAGGCTCCACTTGCTCCGTGTCAGAGCACTGCGACTTGTTCCGTTCCCATTGGCAAATGGCATTGGCATACTCCACCACCAGCTTATCCATCCATGTCAGGGGCTCAGGGAACAGCACGGAGCCCTCAAAGAAGCCCAGGTGGCCCCCATGTAGAGGCAGCACAAACATAACATTCTCCCGTTTCTCTGCAGGGAAAAGGCATTTAAGTTAGTGCATTCTATTAGATCCAGGGCAGGGGGGCAAAGGTGAGCTAGCTGGGCAGCCAGGGTACTCCTCAGAGGGAAGAGTCACCTAAGTGGGTATCTAACCTCTGCTCACACTGCCTTCTTTGCCCAAGTGAGCAGGCAAGTCAGTGGGGCTCATCAGTTTGTAATTCAGCTTGGCTTCGATGTAAAATGGGCACCAAAAGGGCTGGCTGGGGATGTAGCTCAATAGTAGAACACTTCCCCAGCATATGTAAGGCCCTGGGTTCAATCCCTAGCACTGCCGAAATAAATAAAACCCAATTCACAGAATGGCCACCATCCTCAGAGCCTCTTGGAACTGATCATCTTAAAACTTTCTAAATCTGGCCAGGCATGGTGGCACTCACCTTTAATCCCAGCAATTGGGAGTTCGGGGCCAGCCTGGTCTACATAGAGTGTCAGGCCATCAGGGGCTACAGGGAAATCTTGTCTCAAAAAGACCAACCCCACCCCCCAAAAAAAACCTTCCTAAATCCAAGCTGTCCCTCAACCCTCAGACTGATGAAGTTATAATCTTGAGGGTAAGAAAAAAGGGGAGTGTGAGGGACAAGAACCCACATACTGGTAATGCTAAAGCTTTCCAGGTTATTGGCTATGTTTCCCAATTTTTTGCATCTCGATTACTCTGGATATCTCATTAAAATGCAGATTCTGATTAGATAACCTGAGGGTGGGTAGGCTCTGAGAGAGGATCAGAGCACTTACAGTGCTACTTACTACACAACAAGAATTCAATGCAGTCGATGATTTTTCATGCCAAGCATCAATCTTCTCGTCTGAGGCTTGAGCTGCAAGTTGTGCTAAAGCATGCTCTCAATGCTGCATGCTAAATGGCTATGCTGAGAGCTGAAGCTTGATTTTATTAGTCCATGCTTGGATTGGTTCGAAGGGCTACTGAAGACGTGTGTAAGAGGGATAGCCAAGTTCAACAGGGTGTATGCCTTCCCTGCAGGAATAACTGATAGGGCTCCCTTACTGGCTCTACAGGGCTCTTTTCCTGTCTCACTCTATTTTTCCTTTCCAGTTGCTATTTTTTTGCATTTCTGTGGGACACTAGCCCTGTGAATGTTAGAGGCCCAGGAGGAAATAAGTGCTGTTGCTTACTCCTGTGGTTGTGCACGTGGCTGAGTGGGCTGCCATGTGTTCAGGGAGCTTGTGGCTGGCTGGGGGTTGATGGGAGATAGCTTCCATCATGTAACATGCCTCCCGCATATGAAGCCTTCAATCTGAGCACAGTAGTAAAGTTCTGGTAGGCTCGAGTCCCTCTCTCTGCTATCTCCTTGCAGCTGAGGGTTAGGGTTAGCTCTTCCTTTTGGCTACTACGATATTTGCAAGAAGAAACATAATCATAGAAGACTGAAAAGGAGATGATGTTCTAGGAATCTGAGATTACAATGCAAAGTAACTGTGGAGTTCCCAGTCTTTCCTCCTGTTCCCTCTCTCTGTACGTCTGTCCCCAGCATGGAATGTATCTATGCCTTGTTTACATGAGCAACATTCCCTGGCATTTTGGCAGCTTATATTTTTATCCTCAAGGCATGGAGAAGCTGTTATCAAAAGCAGCAGATCTAGCTTTTTTTTTTTTTTTTTTTTTTTTTTTTTTTCCCTCATAAGTCAACTAAGTTCCAGGGGACTGTGAGCATCTCTCAAAATGTCCTGTAATCGTGGTGAGTCACCTGTCCTCTTGATCAAGGAGTTCATGGAGACCCCAGCAGATGGACTTGAACCAGTGTCCAGCCTACAAAGAGGAGGGTCAACACAGAGGAAACATTTCCTTCATGCTTCCTAATAGAAACACCATTCCCTGGTATTGTGGGAGTTTATATTTTTTTCCACAAGGCAGGGAGAAGCTGTTATCAAAAGCAGAAGATTTAGTTTTTTTTTTTTTTTTTTTGCTTTTCATGACAAACTTTAAGTCTAAAATATCTCTTTGAGTCAAACTTTTCTATTTAATAGGACCACAACTCTGAGACAATACTGTTCCAGAATACCCTCTTATCAAGGACAATCCTGTCTCTTGCACCAGGATGGAAACTGGAAGGTTCTGCCCAGGGCCTTCTGCAGTCCAGGACTGTCACTCTGCCACAAGCTACCCCCCATCCAAGAGGCTGGTCATCAGGAGCTAACAGCACAGTGAAGGTGACAATTTACTGTGGCAGTCTGGGGGCACAGTGGGAAGAAACACTCACCTGAGAGAGACTTGGGAATGGTTAGAAGACTTTCATGCACCAAGGGGTCATCAGCTGCGTTAACAAGCATGAGAGGCACATATATCTGCAGCAAGACAGTAAAGCAGAGTTAAAACTATCCACTGCCTATCAGACATGCCTTTGAGGCAAGGGAACATGGTCATGGCTCAGCCTGATGAATGGGAGCATTAGGGATGCCTGATTTTCACTGGCAGTGATAAGTGACAAGTGCTACTGTGATCATCATCTGGTAGCAGTTATGTACAGGAGCAAAGTTCCCAGTGTCCGAGGAGACCCAAGTGCTCTGAGGGAGATTGGCAGTGAGAAATGGCACATAGTCAATGGGTTCCTAATTATCTTCAGTGTTTCAGATTGGCCACACCTCTCAGAAGAGTGACGCAACTACAATGCAACCTCTATACCTAAGGCACAAGGAACATAGAACAGGGGTAAAGAAAAAGACATCGATGAATCTCTCAATTCTTATTAATGAAGCTCCCTCATGCAACAGAGGCCCAAGAACACAGGAGGTCACAAGTAGCCAGAACATAGAGGATTAAGAGTCTGCAGAATGCTGGTCCTTGGACAGGACTCCTACATTAAACTTCACCCACCTAGGGCTCAGGGACCATTGTGGAAGAGGGGGCAGACAGATTGTAAGAGCCAGGGAGGAGGTGCATGACTATATGGAACAGAGTCCTACAAGCTCCTAGGACCCTGCTCATATAATTCTATGGCAATGATGCCAGCACGCACAAGTACCATACAAACTCAGGCAGACAAAAACCTAGCATAGAACTGGGAAAATGAACAGCAGACCCCAATCTTAGCTGAAGAAATATTGGCAACTGATTACTGCTAGGTGAGGAAGAACTGATCTTCCTAAAACAAAGGACTCTAGGTAGGCTGACTAGACCTCAGTGGATGGACTTGCACTGGGGAATGACTGGTGACACAGTGGATCTTAACATGGATAACAGAGTATATGGGTTCCAGTGGGGGGTGCCATGGGAGGGTGCGTGGGGTTTAAAGATGATTGTTTGATATATTCTGTATGAAATACACAAAAATTCCATAAAAAGAAAAAAAAACTATGTACACATTCTTTCAGCTTATACTCTAGAGAAGAAAGTGGACTCCATTCCAAAGAGACCTTCTAGAAGAATCTGAACGATGAAAACAGGAGTGGGAGTCAGGTGTGTATACTTATACTTCTAGCTCTTGGGAGGTGGAGGCAAAAGGACTGTGAGTTTAAGGACAGCCAGGGATATATAGCAAGACCCAATCTCAAAGACCCAAGGGTTAGAGATGTAGCTCAGTAGTAAAACACTTGGCTAGCAGATGTAAGACCCTAGGTTCAATACCTCCCAACAATAAAACCAAACAAAGAGGAGTGGGCTGGTGTATATCAGGGGGCTCTTGGCAAGGTTATGTTCAATATTCACTTTAGCAAAAAGCATCCTTTTGGTTTTGGGTGGAGAAGGTACAGATGGGGCACTCAGACCACCCTGAATTACCATCCTGTGGTAGTGAATAGGTATGTTCTCCAGTTTTCTGGCTCTACACAGCTCACATTTCCATAATGGCTTAAATGAAGATGCCCAAAGCTAGGATGATGGCACTGACCTGGGAGGACTCACTGCTAAGACAGCCACAGAGCTGTAATTCACAATTATCTGTGCTAGCTGGGGAATAGTGGGCCAATCCAACAGATAGACATTGAGGGGGTTAAATGCGTAGTTCTATGTTTGAATAAAAAGAGCAACCATACAATGGCAGAATGAGAGAGGCTGGCTTGATGGTGGGTCAGGTTAAAAAAAAAAGGGAACTGTGCTGGCCACAAATTTAGTACACACAAGTTTACTACAGCTGCTAAAAGAACACAAAGGCAAACCAGAAACCAGTCTACCTTTCTCTTTTTTTTTTTTTTTTTTTTTTTTTTTGACAAGGTCTCACTATGTAGCCCTGGCCAGTCTGGAAATCCCTATGTAGACTGGACTTGATTTCAGATATCCACCTGCCTCTGCCTCCCAAGTGCTGAAAGTAAAGGTGTGCACCACCACACCCAATAACTTTTCTTTTCTAAAAAAAATTCTGTGTGTGTTTCTGTGTGTATGTATGAGGCGGGGGTGGAGGGGTGGGCACAATGCTATAGCATTTATGTTGTCACCTGAAAGGTCAGTTCTCTCCTTCTACAACATGTGGGTTCCAGGGATTGAACTCAGGACATCAGGCTGGTAGTAGGTGCATTCACCTGCTAAGCCATCTTCTTGGTCTTTTTTTTTTTTGAGTCATAATCTACATAGTCCTGCCTGGCTGGGTACTTGCTATGCACCCCAACCTGGCCTCAAACTCACAGCAATCCTCCTACCTCAGTATTCTGAGTCCTGCTATTACAGGTATGTGCCACTAATGTATGGCACCAGTCTACCTTCCTTCCATCCTATCTTTTCTTTTCTTTCTGAGACATGATTCTTCTGTAGTCCCAGCTCACCTGGAACTCACTATGTAGCTCAGGCTGGCCTTAATCTCACACATAGTGCTGGGATTAAAGGTGTGTGCCACCATGCCTGGCTACCAGTCTACTTTTCACCAGGTGTGTTCCTCATCACTCTGATATGGAATTCTACCCAATTTGCTCTGTGCTTGGCAGATCATGGCAGAAATCTGGAGTTTAGTGCTATATACCATGCTAATAAGATAAATAATAACTTCAAAAAAGGATCCAGTGTGGAAAAGAAACCTAGATGGATCTCCCATGAAAAACCATGGTGGAAACCAGGCAGTATTACACTGACAAAGGAAGTCTAAGAAAAAAATTAGATGTTGCAAGCAACTTCATAGCCTTGGGAGCAGCTTCACCTGGGTGGCAGCTCTGGGATTAAGGTACAACAGTCATCAAGAGACAGTTTGGTTCAATAAAAAGTCCAGGTAAAAATCTAGAGTGATTCCAGCCAGATTCTGGCTTTCCTTCTGCCAGCAAATTTAGAAAGGACATCTGTTGTACTGTGGGCAAGACTGGCTGGAATGACACTAATTCTGAGACGGTGCTGCCACTTACCCTGTGCAGGTACCTCATGCAACTTTCTTCCTCATAATACTCCTTCAGGGAGTTATAGCCATGGAACTTCCTGGAACACACACACATACACACAAAGGTAAAATAATATTTGTTGTAAATTGAGCTAATTATTCTCTCATTTCTACACTAACGCACTGCTATGATAGAATGTGCACAGGTGGTGACTGCACTATTGCTCTGGCTCTTGCATTAAGATAAATGCCGGTGGCAGAGTGTGGGGTCAAGAGCATTCCTAGGCATCTGGATTTTAACCCAGATTCGGCCACTTTCTGGTTGGGTGATCTCAGGCAAATGGCTCAAGTTCCCTGAGCTTTGGCTGTTCCTCTGTAAAGAGGATCAAAGGCAGGACCTTCCTCGATGTGCTGTGAGGTTTATGATATATGGAAGCACTTACCCACATAGTCACTAGCCTAGAGAAATCTCCAAGTCAGTGTCATCTGAGGTAATTACCAGTGGCCATTATACCTTTTGAGTCACCTTAAAACCGTATTATCACTCTTGACAGAGAAACTCAAATGCAAAGGCATGTGATAAATCTTTCAAGAGTTATTCCTGATCATTGTAATTTGAAATGAAATATATATTGGAAAGTAAGATACAGACAGGGGTTTGAAGTCACTATTTCTACTCACTCAAGGAGCTGTTTTATCACAGATAAACTGTCATTTAATAAAACCTTTAGTGCTCTATCCAAAATATCCAGCAGTTCTGCTCAGCCCTGGGTTCTCAGAGGCCTGGCAAGTTCAGCCTGGAGTTCTGACGCTGGAATTCTACTCTATGCCAGAGGACCTTTGAACACTTTATTTCATCCTGACTCAGGGTAGGGCCTCTAGTTTCTGAAGGTGGATCTTTTCTGCTTTGACTCAGGTCTCCAAGATGTCTTGCCTCCCCCAGAGCTGTGGATCTCTTCTACCTCTAGCCTTCTTAGGTATCTGTCTGGAAATGACCCAGAAAGCTCAAGCCAGACCACTAGGGACCCCTTGTAGGAGGAGGCTGTGTGCAGAGATCATGATCAGGGCCTCTGTCCTTGTGAATTCAGTCTTCTGTGGTTTCCCAAAACATTTCATTCCTCCAGCACTGCTGGTGACTGATTTATGAGGAGGCTGCCCAAAACTGAGTGTCATTACAAAGCTGCTATTACCCAATACTATTAATGAGGAAGAACTTTACACAAGTTGAGGGACATTCTTTTGGGGGCTTAAGTTTAGAAGAAGAATGCGAAACAAATTTAAATAAAACTAATTTTTAAAAATTAAGTACCACAGTAAGTCACATACTATATCATAAAAGGAATGGGTGTTATACATTTTCATTTTAAAAATTCTTTTTTGATTTATTTTTATTTTAGGTGTTTGAGTGTTTTGTCTGCATGTATGCAAATGCACCCATACATGTAATGCCTGTGGGTACTGGATTGCCTGGAAATGGAGTTACAGGTAGTTGTTAGCCTCCATGTGGGTGCTGGGGACAGAACTGGGTCCTCTGCAAGAGCAGGCAGTGCTCTTAACAGCTGAGCCATCTCTCCAGCCTCCATTTTCATCTTTTTATTTTTTGTTTTTTATCTTTTTTGAGACAGTGTTGCCCTGTAGCCCCAGCTGACCTGGAACTTGCTACATAGACCAGGCTGCTCGAACTCACAGAGATCTGCCTGCCTCTGCCTTCCAAGTGCTGGGATTAAAGGCGTGCGCCACCACGCCCGGCTATTTTCATCTTTTAAGCATACTATCAATTCCAATTTTTATTTGCTTTGAGAAACTGCTAACAGGTACGTTCAAGTTTATCTGGTACAAAAATGTTACTAAAGTCTCACGAAGAAGAAAAGTTAGATCTCAAGCTCTCAGGTCATTGACGACCTATTGAGGGAACATCTGCTGGCTTTAGGCCACATCTAAAGTGTCAAATGATTATAAACTGACACTGTTGGGCCATAAACACAGCAGTTCAGGCAGGGAAAGAATAAACCAGAGAAATGGACGGGGTTGTATCTTGCACTTGGAGAAGCATTTTAGGTACCCCATGGATAGTGGTTGTGTGTGTTTTGTTTGAACCACACAGGTATCTGGCTCATCTTTTGTTTTCTAACTTTGGTAGAGACTTAGCCTTATGAATAATTATGGTATAAGAAGTACTTCCTTTCCTCCACCGCAAGGGCAGATCTGGGTGGTACTGATCTTGTCCGGTGCTGAGGTGGGACAGGTAGTAGTGTATGGAGAGGGACAACTAGGGTAGGCACACTTCACTCCCCAGTGCAAGCTGCCTGTGTCACGTGGGATGAATGGGCATAGTCTCTACCCATTTTCCAGGAGATTAGAATTTTTGTATGTTTGTGAAATCTTCTTTTAAACATCAGACACTTATTCAAAGGAAAAGAAGCCACTATGGCAAAGTGGTAGTGCTGGACAGAGCTGACTGGCAGCCTCCAGCCTGGCACCTGGCCCACAGCATCCCTTGGGAACCCACCTCATCACGTTGTCATCAATCTGCATCAGAGATGTTGCTGTGTAGAGCCGGCTCAAGTCCGTATCCTCCAGGCTCTGGGGTTTCTTAACATGGTCTCCAAAAAGAGCTTGTCTGGAACAAGACACAAAAGCAAACAGCAATGTAGAGGAGAAGTCACCACAGTGGAGCCTGCTTCCCTGCACACAGGCAGGCCAGGAGTGTCCTGTTGCTATGCAACTGAGCAATATGGTAAATTTAACATACAACCCTTCACTTTCTAATGTATTTGGGTTTTTGTTTTCCTGAGGTATTACAAACTGAAACTAGGGTCTTGAATGCTAGGCAAGCATTCTGCTGTGAGCTATACAGTCAGCTCTTATTCTTATTTTTGACATAGGATCTCATGTAAGCCCGAGCAAACTTCAAATTCCTTGTGTAGCCAAGGCTAACCTTGAACTCATGATCCTCCTGTCCCCATCTCTTCAAGTTCTAGGACTATAAGCATGTGCTACCATGCCTGGCTCCCTTGAGCCTTCAGAATGTCCAAGATGTGTGCTAGTGACTTCTGAATGGCTGCAGGAAGATGAACATCAAGACCTTGTTTTCCTTTTCAGGGGCACTAAGACAAACTGAATATTGGGTTTCAAGATAGTCAAGTAGTGTAGAACCTTCAACACAGGGAGAAGGGCCCAGGAAGAGCCCTTTGGAGAGTGATGGGCAGCAGACCAAATGCTAGGGACTAGTGTTTACACTCCTGTTGATGCTGTCCCCTTTGGCAGATCCTCTTTTCCTTTACGAGCCTGGTGGAGGAGAGGAAACCTGAGCTAGGCCTTAAGGAATGGGCTGGGCCCAGTGAGCAGATGCTGGAAAGGGGAGTAAGTGGGGTAGAGAATTCAAAGGGCACAGGTGCTCTTTAAATGGCCCAGTGTAGCTAGAAGGGAAGGGAAGCACCAGGGAGGAGAGAGAAAAAACAGTGGTAAGAATAATTATAATAAAATCATTGTTGGTATCCATGCAGACTCCTGTTCCCTGGGCACCATCTGAACTATGAAGGACTCTGAGCAGGATCAGTGATGTAAACATGCAGAGGCTGAGCCTCCAGCAGGCAGGTACCAATGCTCCACTCTGAACCTTCTGCCCTGTGGCTGAACACTGAGGGGCCCAGTCCTAAAGTCTTGCACAGAAACATCCTGGGAGGGTCACCTCAACAATGACAAGCCACCTCAGGAATACCCTAATTGCTCTAAATGTCTCACCTTACTGGGAGTTACCAAGGCAAAAAGTGGTTTGTGAATTTGCAGCTGGGATGAGTTTGTTCTGACCAAGTCCCCAATGCAGTCAAAAGAGAGTTTACACCCAGTTTTCTTTTCCCTCCTGAAGAAACAGGAGTCTGGACTTTAGTGAGTCCTAAATGAGCCTAGGAAAGAACCCGGCATCTCCTGAGATAGAACAGAAGGGGACATACCTGTGGGACAGGATGATCTTCTTCATGTTATCAGCCATGAGGAAGTTGTAGAAGCGCCGGCACTGGTCCCACTGCATGAAGGTCTCCTGGGCCCTGAAAGAACACAGCAAGAGTGAGGGACTAAGAGAGGCTCTAAGATTGTCATGAGGTACTTTGTGGAGAGTGCACTCTCTGGCTACAGGCCTCTGCTTTGGCTAACGGCTTTGAAGTGGAGTGTTCAAACATCTGTGAGAGAAGATGCAAGACCCTCTGAAGAGCCCTGGAGGCCTCCAGGGCTAGAAAGGAACAGCGGGTAGTTGGTGGCACTCCTGACATCCTCCTGGCCTTCTGAGAGTTTGCTCCAATTGGTTAAAAAATAAATGAATAGTGAAAAGGTGTGTAATGTGCTTATAAAGCACAGGTTGAAGCTTTAAGTGAAGAATAACAATGACCACCCCCAAGGTCAAAAGGCTATGGAATCTTTATGCACATACGGGACCTCCCCACACTCTGCAGGCACATAAACACAAGCCAGGTCACCACAGGTGGGACCCTGGCTAAGGGAAGGCAGCAGCCTAATGGTCTTCCTTTTCAATCAGTGAGCCACAACCTGCTGCCTCAATATGCTCCTCCTTCCTCTGATCTTAGACTTCTGTTTTCCCTTTCTCTGAAAGCCATGGTCTCTCAGAAGCCCAGTTTTCTCTTGATCTCATTCATTTCTTCCTTGGCTGAGATCCTGACTGAGGGGCTTGCTTGCTTTTGTCAGCACTACTTCAAACAAGAGGGACTGCAGAGAGAAGGGAGAGAGGATGGTCCTGGCTATAATGTTAAGCTATAAAAAGATGCGTCAGCACTGTAGAGGCTTTTGGGTTCAATATCATGGGTGTTGCTTGGAGAGAGGCTCTGTGGTTCACGGGGGTCCTGGGCTCAAAGAAGAAAAGACAAGGATGATGGGCCAATGTTTAACTTGGCTTATTTTGATTCTTATTATCTTTGGTTTCTCACTCAGTATATTTAGAGGTTGTCTTTCTGCCACCTTTGGATATATAAGTAAGGAACTAAATGTCATTGGTTTAATAAAACATAATTAAGGTCAAGGTACTACAAAACACCCATACCACATATTTTAAAAAGGTCTAATTCTATCACCATCAAACTGAGCATAAATAAGAGGGGACACCTATAGATTAAAGGAAACAAGAAATAGAGGCTGGCGAGATGGCTCAGAGGGTAAAAGCATCAGCTGTGCAAACTTGATGACCTAAGTTTGATCCCTGGAACAAAGGGTGGAAAGGAAAGGAAAAACTGATTCTGGAAATTGACCTCTGATCTCCACATGCATGTTACCACACAAGTCTACACTCATACATACACAATAATAAGCAAAATAAAAATTAAAAAGATGTTTCTGAGACAAAACAGTGTAAAGTGTGAGCACTGTTTGGGTCCTGACTCAAAGAAATCAATGGCTAAAACCCATCTGGGGCAAACAGACCTGAACACTGGGTAGAAACAGTATTTGTGGTTCTATTGAAGTTTTTTAGTCTTGGAATTTGCTTTAAAATAATCCAGTTTATTGGGGCGTGGTGAGTGAATGAGTTTAAGAATAGCTTTGAGTTAAGCCTTGTTGAAGCTGGTGAAGGGCATGCAATATAATGTAACATAACATAACATAACATAACATAACATAACATAACATAACATTATTACAGACTTGTACCACCAAACTGGGCTCAAGATCTTATTTAAATTTTTTTGTATGTATTAAAATATTTCTATAACAATGAAGGAGGAAGAGGGTGAGAAACGAAGAAAGAAAACCACCTTTTGGAATATGAGTGACTGAAAATTATTTGCCTTGCTGAAAGGTTAAAGATCAAAGATATAGGCTGGAGAGATTGCTCAGCGGTTAAGAACACTGGTTGTTCTTGCAGAAGACACAGGTTCGAATCCCAGCACCCACATGACAGCTAACAACTGTCCGTAACTCCAGTTCCAGGGGATCCCAACAGCCTCTTCTGACCTCTGCGGGCATTGCACGACATGGGTGTACTTACCTATATGCAGGCAATATACGTACACACATAAAAAAAAAAAAGATCAAAGATATAGAGAAGAGTCCGTTGTTTTTCACTTGTTAGATTGCTGTGCCATGAGCCTCTACCAACACCTCAGGGATGGTAAGAGACCAAGCAGGTTATCCAGAACCATTACACAGCAGTCCACCAAGAACTTCACTCAACCAGCTCCTGTCCATGGCAAGTGCCAATGCTTTGGCATTTTTTTGTGCAGTGAGAGGAGGAAGGAGCCAGGACTGTCTAGTGTGGAAGATGGGCTTGGGCCTTGGGTTTGGTGATGGAATGAAGGTCTACACTGGCCAGGCCACAGTCAAAAGAACAGTAGGGTGGTATAGTCAACATCACAGGGAGTGCATCAAACTGCACAGGCCACTTCTTCTCTCTAATTCTTAGTTTCTTCATCTGCCCAATCAGGAGGCTGAAGTAGAGAGTCTGTTTCCACAGTTGAAGTATTCAGATGGCCCCATGTGAAGTCAGAGAGAGGGCATCTCAGGACCCTAGTGGTGTTTTCACTGTTTCTGTTAATAGTGGTTAGAATTCTGCAGACAGGTGGATATGGTGAGTGGCCAACTAGTCATGGTGCTAACAGTGGGCCTGCATGCTTACTTTTGGCTGGATGGACCACATATCCCTGAAGGATGGGAAGTATCTGCCTGGGATCTTGGTGATCCAATGAAGGAGGTTAAAGAAAATGGTGGTGGAGTGAGAACACTCACACGAAACTGTGTGAACCCAGACTATGAAGATAGACCAATTTCAAGTATCAGAGGGGCATAAGGACAGAAGTGGGTCATGAGAGTGCATGGGAAACTCTGAGGGGGTAGAAGAAAAGATGTTATTCAGCTGTATGTCAATGGGCAGAGCACTCAAGGAGAACTGACCTCATGAGAGCGTAGAAGATTCTAGAGGTGGAGCCAGCAAGACGTCTCAGTAGATAAAGTTACTAGCTGCCAAGCCTAACAGCTTGAGTTCAATTCCTGGAAGCCACATGGTGGTAGGAGAGAACTGATTTCCCCAAAATTGTCCACACATGCACTGTGGTACTCACCCTCACTTCCCATAAATAAGTCAATCAATTAAATAAATAAATAAATAAAAATAAATAAATAAATAGAAGACCCCCAGGGATATCACTGAGACTGTATGAAAAAGGCAGGATACTATGATGGAGACTGTGTGGTTACTCAAAATAAGTTCACTTTTAGACCTAGGATGTCCAAAAACTCCAGAAGAAAAACATGCAAAGACCATTTGGGAGAGCTGCTAGGCTAGATAAAAGAAATGTGCTGTACATTTTAAATTTATGTGCTGTACACATATACTGTATAAATGTGCTGTACATTTTGGATTTATTTATTTTTATATGTATGAGAGTTTTGCCAGCGTGTACATGCAATGTCCTTGGTGGCCAGAAGAGGGAGTTGGATCCTTTTGGAACTGGAGTTATAGATGGTTGTTGGGTCTACCATGTAGATGCTGGAAACTGAACCCAGGTCCTCCTAATGAGCAACCAGTGCTGTTAGCCACTAAGCTATCTCTCCAGTCCCGTGTTTTACATATCAGATGCCAGTCAAGATGCAGAAAGGCCTTCTGGCTCCACCTGCACAGCTGCCTTCACTCCAAGGATAAAATAGCTCCTCCCTACCTCAAGTGTTTGCAAGGAAAAAAAGATTATATAGGCTTAAAGTAAGGAACTTTCTTCCATTCATTTGGTCTTGGCTAAAATGCTGAGAGAATCTGAGTCCCAAGCAGCACCAACACATGGGAGACAATGGCGTTTCTTTGACCTGTCACAATTCCCATGTGGAGGACTGTAGGATCTCAGCCAAACATTAATCATGCTCCAGAGATTAAACTTAGGACATTTCATGCTTATTGTAGGAGGCTGTGACAAAAGGGAAGTATGTATGAAGCTCTTAGAGGCCTCAGAAGGGGAAGGGGCTGAGTAGACTGAGGAAAGCACCTCACAGATTCTAGTTTCCTACATTCTTAGTTTGCGAACTGTGCTGATCATGTGCCTTTTCCAACAGCAGATGGCGCTATTGCAGTAAAATGCAAAGAAACGTTCTAAGATTTCTGCATTGAAAGATGGGTAGAAGGGAGGAGGGGAGAAGGAGGAGGAGGGAGGAGAGGACAAATTTGTCCTAATCTTCCTATTTAGAAAATCTAGAGCTCTCTGAACACTAGGGCAGCATTTACATAAGTTCTCTATATTCAGGTTAGGAAGGGAATCCAGTGATTCACACATTATAGATAACAGGATGCTGAAAATTAAACCAGTTGTAGTTGAAAGCAGAGAGGACCCCACAACTCTAGGCTCCTCTGGGCCCTGCTCCCTTAGATCTGGTGGAAGGTTGGTTCCTTGATAACCTTTTTTGTAATCCCAGTGATTGGGTGGGATGGGACTCTGGCTAGCTCTGGTTATGCATAGCCACGAAGTGAAAATTGAACATTTTTCCTTAAGCCAAGATAAAAGGAATATGCCTTTTCAGCTGACTCCCAGAGTGTCTACCTACAGGAAGGATCCACACAGGACAAGGGTCTAACATAATCCTAGAATGCCAGAGATACAGAGACCACTCAGGTCTCCAAACCCAATGACTTCTCAACATGACCAAGTATCTGAAGTCACCTATGAAATGGGTCCAAAAGGCAGATTCCTGGGCTTCACCAGTCAGAATCTCCAGAGGCAGGACTCCCTAAAGCTGAATTTATCTCTAACACAATCCCCTCAAGTGATTCTTTTCTTAAAACTTATTACTATTGTGTGTGTGCATGATGATGATGATGTGTAGGGATGTACATGCCACAGCGAGCACGTAGAGGTCAGAGGACAACTCTGTGGAGCTGGTTCTCCCTTTCTACCTTTATGTGGGTTCTGAGAATCAAACTCAGGTTGTCAGGCTTACTCAGAAAGTGCTCATACCTACTCACCCACCTGACCAGCTCCCAGCCTCCTGTCCCCCTGCCCATGATTCTCAATAAAGGAGACAGCCAGTAGTTCATCAGACTGGTCTTTATGATCCACTGACCTAGCCCATCTCCTTTATTTTCTAGTAAAAGGAATGATGACACTAGCTGATAATCACATGCTACAGGCCAGGCACTGCTCTGAGAACTTCATACACATTTGATTCTCATAATGGCATGATATGGTAGATGCTATTTATTATTATCAACCATGTTGTAGATAAGGAAACTGGAATCCAATCATTGGTCCTAGAACTCAGCAAAGGTTGCATTAGTGATGTTTTAAATTTTTCTCTTGAGTACATTTGGGGCCTCTTTTTTGGCCAGCTTTATTCCACATAGGCAGAGGGTGAATTCTAGGCCCACAACTGCCCTTTGCATGATATGCTGGCTTCACGTTCCAGTACTATGTGCCTTTAGAAATAACACAGATTGCCTCTGTCCATCAGAGAATAATGAGATAGGTTTAAACTGCAGCATGGAAGATAAAGGTGAGGCAAAATCGAAAGACTCTTATAAAGTATAAAAGATAGTTTGGGGATAGATGTGTGGCCCAGCAGTAGAGGCCTTGCCTAGCATGCACAAGGCCTTGGGTTTGATCCTCAGTACTTCAGGAAGAAAACAAAAATCTAGAACAATAAAGAAGTTTTATTTTTACTTTCTTGTACAAATTTGGATCTCCTTGAGAGATCTTTGATAATGAGTCATACGCATCTGTAATGTAATATGAGAAAAGGCATTATCAGGAAGGGTAAGAATGGGAAAAACTGTGAGTGCAGCTGAAGAGCCTGGAGAAATGTGTGACTGAATGTGTGTGACTGAATGTGTGTGTGTGTGTGTGTGGTGTTAACTTGAGAGACCTGGGACAGTAGTGATACTGATGGGGAGGCAGAACACAGACTTATCCTATAGAGCATCTGCTGCCAGAGACTAAGGGGCAACATCAACCTTGCTCTGTAGATCAGCTCCTCCAGAAGGATGTCTGGGATGTCTGAGAGGTGAATCCTTCAGTGGAGGACACTGATTAGATGACTTCCACAGATTCCCTTCCAGATACCATCCTGCAGGAAGGACTACAAGGCCCAGCTCTCAGATGCTGGCTGCCTGTCTCCTGTACTCTCTCCTTAAGCCATAGTTCTGCCATATTCCTAAAGCATGAACAGATGAGTCACCTCACAGAAACTCCCCAGGGAAGCAGCTGCTACTAGGGGGGAACTTTGCTGACCCAATTACAGATCTGATTCTGAAATACAGTTATGCTTCCCAGGCATAATCAAGGACTGATGGAGGAAACAAGGGTATGTGTGATGGAGATGGCTTACCTCAGTGCACTGTACCCCTGGCACACGCTGACACAGCACAGGACCTTTTCCTGGTTTGCCTGAGTCTCCCCCAAGTATTTGCACACAATGTTACCACCCAGGCTGAAGCCCACGACGACCAGCTGGGTCTGGGGATATGTCTTCTTGATGTAGTTCACCATGGCTCCAAACTCCCATGTGCAGCCTGTCGGCAAAAGATGAAGTCACTCGATCATTTCAGGTGCAACAAATATTAGAGAAGATGCAAGCTGTAGGGTTACTAAGGGCCAATACACTGAAAGAACAAGAGATATATGTGCATGTCTATGCTGCGGATAAAGGGCAAGAGACAGGCAGACAGATACTGCTTTTTGGATATGTGAGAGAAATTTCCAGATGCCCCTTTGTATTAGTGTTCATGGACATCCAAAGAGATCTTCCCAGGGTGCGTGTGAGCACCTATGTTCCCACACAGATGTAAACACAAGCAAAAGTAAATCCCTTTGGGATTAACTTCTTGGCTACAAACTGGGCCGTATACCAATGAATACAATGATTCATGGAGTTAAGAACCCAGAGGATATTATTTACAGGATCTTCTTGTCAGCTCTGGGAAGACGAACTTCAGTCCAGAGAGACAAACGACTGCTCTGTGGGATTTGGTCAAGTGTTCTTAGTCACATAGAGACAGGTTGCTAAGGGAGGCAGGCTCATTCAGAAACACTCAGAGGGCCTTGTGAATGGGCCTGGTCTGCCCAGGAGGGATGATCTCAGCTGGCATCCTCTGGGAAGCTGTTGGAGCCAGGCTATGTCTCTTCAGTTGTGCTAAGGCAGAGGAGGCTGGTGGCCATCCAGAGGCAAAGGATTCAGCACATCCTTCTAAGACCTAAACCTGAACTGTAGGGAACCAACTTAAGAGTAAAACGTAACAAGGAAAGTATGGGAGGCTGGCAAGAGGCACATACTACACACACCAACATGAAAAAGTATAGATTTACAGTGAAAATGGGAGATGCTGACCTGGCATTGGCACAGAGGTTTGATAACCCTGTAAGGTTTGAATAGAAGCTTCCAGAACCAGCAAGCAATGGGGAATGATATCTTTGGAACCTACAAAAATTCTCTCTCTGTTCATCTGTTTCCTTTTTAAAACTTTTTTTATTTTTTGAGACAGGGTCTCATATATCCCAGTTGTCATCAGAATGTCTGGGGATGGGACTTAGGCAAGGTGCCCTTTCAGAGGATCCCTGAGGTAGTCCTGGTGTACCACCAGAGCTGAGACCCATTTCTCTAGAGAACAAGGATCTTGGCTGGGCATAACTTAATCCTGCAATCTCAGCATTTGGGAGGCTGAGGCAGGAGGATCCTGAGTTTGCAGGCCAGCCTGGGCAATATAGCAGGTACTTTATCTCAAAACAAGAGAAAAATCAAAAGAAAGGCAGGCCTCATCTTTGTAATCCCAGCACCTCAGGGGTGTGATTATGTGCTGAAGCAGAAGGATTTCTTGGAGTAAAAGTCCAGTCTGTGTAATATAGTGATTTCTACACTGTCTCACAAATCAAAAACAAACAAACAGCAGCAAAACATTACCAGCTGTGAACTATATGAGAAAGGATTTTTCTGAGGTACTCTCCCATCTGTCTCTGGGCCACTGGGTTCCAGACTCCTTTCCCTTTCTGTATACAGGAAGCAACCTGCACAGATGGGGTGCTGTTCAGCCTTTTGGAAGCATCTGAAGTAGAGCAACTTTCCACATTTCCTCAAAGCAAGGTTTTCCCAGAGGTACAGTTCCAGGTCACAACTAGACATGCCCTGTAGACCCCTCTAACACCTAACAAAAACAAACTGCCTTCCCTTTCCCTTCTCATACCCTTCCTTCCTAGCCCAGGTTGAACCAGAATGCAATATGTAGCTCAAGCTGTCTCTAATTTGTAGCAATCCTCCATCTCTTGCATGCTAGGATTACAGGCATGAGCAAACTCAGATTCAAAAACAAAGTTTAAATATATCCAGTTGTTTTGTGGTAATGTTTCTTTGCTAAGAGTGAATCAGAAAACTTGCCTGGAGGGTAACATTGCTACAAAGGGCTAGAGGTGTGGCTCAGTGATGCTTGCCTAACATGCACGAGGCCCTAAGTTTGATTCTCCAGCACTGCAAAAATAAACATCACTGTAAGAATGGCGTGATAGTTCAGCAACTGTCAAAAGTGTGGTTCACAGTGTGGAAGCTTCTTCCAAATGTTTGTTCCTGGTCCCTTGCTCCAAACCTATTGACTCAGGAGCTTCAGAGTTGGGGATTACACAGCAAGTGGCAGGTCCTATCTCCAGAGTTTCTCCTTCAGTGGGTCTGGGTGGGCTGAATTTACATTTCCAATGTGATGTCAGGTGATGATGACACTGTTGGCCCAGGGGCCATATTTTGAGAATTACCTTCCTAAATTGATAGGAAAGGTGGATGAAATCCTTAATTCTTTTGATTCTTTTGTCTTTTAAAGGGCCAGATGAAAAAGATGTTTCATGCTATTTATAGGTAAGAAAATTGGAATTAAAATAACAATTAGCATTTTTTTTAGTTTATACTCAAAGACTTTTTACTCTGACAAAAAGAAAAGTATGAGTTTAATAACCACATACTTAGAAGAAGCATTTCACTGCATCAAAATTTACATATTCAATAACAATTTTCTGAGCTAGGATGCATCTCTTACAAAATTGGCTGTACATTTTTAGGTTTACAGTTGAATTATTACAGTTATACAATATTGTACTCAGTATAAACCCTATAAGACATAAAATTAAATAAGGTTTTAACCTTTAAAAAAGATCTCTGTTTCATTAACAATTAGCATTTTTTATACCTGCTTGTATCAGAAAAGATAATCAAGTTTGCCAATAGCCATGACTAGGGAGGTTACTTGTAATAGGTTTGCAAGTGTATTCATTGTGAGTGTATACACAATGGGATAGACAGGCCTTGGAGGGCATTGTGGTAATATTATTAATGCTTTTAAAAGTATAGTCCTTAACCCAAGTGTGGTGGCACATATCTGTAATCCCAGAACTTAGAAAGATGATGCAGGAGGATAAGAATTCAAGGTCATCCTCAGCTACACAGCACATTCCAGGCCAGCCTGGGCTACTTGAGACAGAATAAAACAAGCAGAAAAAGTATAATCCTTTGAATCCTTGAGGTTAAAGGCAGAAGGATCATGAGTTCAGGGCCAGCCTGGGCTACAAGTTAGGCCCTTTCTCAAATAACAAAATAAAAATCTAGTCTTTTGGTCTAGCAATTCCTTTTCTGGGAACTTTATGCTGCAGATATACTTGTATATACATGTAAAGACATATGTATATGAATGTTCCCTGAAGTGCTGTTTGTAGTAGCGAAGGCTTTGGAACAAACTCCACTTCCATCAACAGAGGGCTGGTGAATAAAACACTGCACTGCTGTGAAAGAGAATGATGCTGTGGGATCTGACCTGCTACATGGATGACTCTGAGCCATCTTCCAGAAGGACAAAACAAGGGCAGGAGAGAGTGCTATCTCATGTGTGCTTGGGTTTGGAAATGAAATATATGTGAACATGTCTAATTTTAGCATATCTATTTGCTGAATAACTGTGGCAGATACCTATTTCAGAGAGGAGAACTGAGGGCCTCAGATTTAATAAAAATCTAGCCAAATAGGGGTCCAGAGAAATGGCTCAGCAATTAAGAGCACTGGCTGCTCTTGCAGAGGACCCAGGTTTAGTTTCCAGCACCTACATGTGAAAAAAACCTAGGCGCCATGAGGCCACCTGATAGGAATGCCTGACAAGAAGTCAAGCATTGAGAAACTAGCTTATCAGAAAAACAGGACGTAGTGGTCAAGCCATCTGCATCTGGCAATCCCCGGGGCTCGATACCAGGAAATCAGAAAAACCTCTGTGTCCCTGAGGTCACCTCCCATTTAGCAATCCCACTTCCCCTTAGCCCCGACCCTTACCCCATATTTCTGTGTGCTTTTGAAATTACTCTGTGTGTTTTTGAATTAACCAATAACCGCGCTTCTGCTTCTGTACCCTGCTTCTGCTCTATAAAAGTGCAAAAACCCAGCATGGGGGCGCGCAAGTCCTCCGAGGAGACTTTGTGCCCACAGGTACCTGTGTATCAAATAAACCTCATGCTGTTGCAACCCGAAGACTGACTTGTCCTCAGTGGTCTCACTCTTACAATTGGAGGTCCCACCGAGATCAGCCGGTCAGAGGGAACCACCAGGACAACTCCAGTCCCTTCGGGGAGGTGAGTTGGCCGGCCAACCTCAGTGTTGTCTCTGTGTCTTGCGTTGTCTGTCTTTTGTCTGTTTTGTCTGATCCTGTTAGGCAGCGTCTGTAGAATTTGGAACCTGAGATCTCGTCTGTACTTTTGGACAGTGCAAGAGCAAGACGACGGTCTTTGAGCTTTGCCTGTCAGCCTGGGGGACGCCCCAGGGTCTGTGAGATCCACATCCGTAGAACTTTTTGTTCATTTGTATTCGTGGATCTCGTCCGGGCAAGGGACGTGGAATCCCCTTGTCGGACGTCTGGACAAGGGACGTGGAATCCCCTTGTCACCTGACCGAGCTGCACATCTGAGTAAATTGTTTTTCTGTGTGTATTCTGTGTATTTGTGTTGGTCGCGACCGCATCCCAATGGTCTGGGGTGCCCGGTATTTTGGAGCTCAATATACATCTGAAGGATACGTATCCCTGAGACGCGGAGCACCAACCCCGCCATCTGATTTTATACTTTCACTTTTTCTCCAGAGTCGCGCTAAGCTATACCTTGCCGCCGGCTGTCTGTTTTTATTGTCTCTGCTGTTTGTTTGTCTCTTTATAATTCTAGAAAGTCCTAAAATGGGACAACAACTAACTACCCCTTTGAGTCTGACCTTAGATCACTGGAAAGAAGTCAAGAGCCGAGCCCACAACCAATCAGTGGAAATCAAGAAGAATCGATGGATAACCTTTTGTTCCTCCGAGTGGCCCACGTTTAATGTCAGTTGGCCTCGGGATGGGACTTTTGATTCTGATGTTATTTTGCACGTTAAAGCTAAGATCTTCTCTCCCTCCCTATCATCCCCCTCCGCAGGCTGCTGCGGCGGTTCCAGATGATGTCCAAGCAGAGGGACCGGAGGTCGCTCCCTCTCCCATTGCGGGTCGACTCAGAGAGAGGAGAGGACAGGGAG